AGCATTGTATCAATATTGTCTCACAAACAGCCACTGCTTCATGTAGTTACGTTCACTGTTCTGCCAGTACAGCCGACGGCATTGCTTTACAGCATTAATCAGGACAGTACATCTTGGTTAATGATAAGGAGTAAAAGCAAGTTGTTGTCATCCCTAAAAAGTGGCTGCTGAACAACATTTTATTTATCGCGATGATGTGACTGTAACCGATATTATTGCTAGTGTCGATCGTGATAGTCGCTATACCTTAAGGTATAGCGACTATCAAAGTGCATTTAGCTAAATGCACTTTGAAAGTTTGTTTAAAAACCGGTTTTTGTTAATATTTTAGTTTGTGATAAACATTTACATTAAATCAATTATTTCTTGTCCATCTGATTTTCAGCTGGCTTCGCAAGTTTTAACAGACCGAACTGTAAGTTTCTTGTTCGCATTATTAACAACATTGTTATACTGTTGGTACGCTATCGACGTTTTACATAGCACTTGCTTGTAAACTAAAGAGTTTTTATTTTTATTTTTGTAGAACATTGTGAACAATAGTTCAACGTCTACGTAACGTGCTTACGTGACTAAGCAATGAAGAAACGATGTATTAATGAATGATTTGGAATTTTATAAACTGTAATAAACATTTCAATGTGTCACGAATCAGTCTTTTAATCATAGCGATAAATCGATTGACGTTAAGTTTCTTTGGCACTGCATAATTGACTGGAAATAATGGAATATCGCAGTAAAAACTGTCCATAGTTATTCTCTCCAGGCTTTTCCGTGATATTTGTAGAAATTTGTTGAGAAGTATTGCGTTGAAACGAATTTGCAAAAACTATAACAAGATTCTGGGGAAATTTCGGGGCCATTTCCCAAAAATTTTCTATAGCGGCTTCCCCAAGATTGGGACGTTGCACAAACTTTCTCGTCCGGGTGTTTGTGCAACCATCAAGCTTATAGCAGAACGATTTTGCTGGCCTGGTATGAATAAAGACGCGAGGGCGTGATCACGCTCCTGTGTAAGCTGCCAGAAATCTAAGGTGAATAGACAAATGTCCCTCAGGCTCATTTAAAACTCCCGACGTTCGTTTTGACCATGTTCATCTGGGTTTGGTAGGATCCTTACCAGATTCGAATGGATACTCTTATCACTTAACCTGCGTAGACCGTTTCACTCGATGGCCAGAAGCAGTACCTATCAAGGACATCACTGCTGAAACAGTGGCTCGCACCTTCGTCGAACGATGGGTAGCAAACTTTGGCTGCCCTTCAACCATCGCTACAGGTCGCAGGCGCCAGTTAGAATCTGGACGTTTCCGTTGTCTGACTGCACTATTGGGAATCACTCGCTTCCGAGCAACCGCCTACCACCCACAAGCAAACGGGTTGGTAGAACGTTTTCACCGACAACCAAAAGCCTCAATATCAGCTGCAAACGTTTCACAGTGGACCGATGCTCTTCCACTCGTCTTACTAGGTATCCGCAATGCAGTGAAAGCTGACATTGGATACACTGCGGCTCAACTCGCTTATGGAACGACACTTCGACTTCCAGGAGAATTCGTGGATCCTTCATCCTCTTCAATGAACATGGATCTAACCTCCTACACGAACAGGCTTACAAACGCAATGCGTTCAGTTAAACCTGTTTTCACTCGACCTCAGTCAACCGATGTTTTCGTTCAACCTGACTTACGATATAGTACATACGTCTTCGTTCGTCGAGACTCACATCGACGACCTCTCGAATCAGCATACGAAGGACCCTTCAAAGTTCTTCAACGCGAACCTAAGTATTATATAGTCGACAAGAACGGAACAAACGATAGCATCAGCATCGATCGCCTCAAAGCAGCGTATTTAGAAGGAAATCCTATTCACGCCAATTTTCCTTCGGTACAATTGCACGACACGACTCACACACTTATAATACCTCAACCGACAGCCAACACCTATGATACGGCGGCAGTATCTGAAAATAAACTTAGAACAAGGCGTTCTGGAAGAAGAGTAAGATTTTCAGAACATTTAAACGACTATTGCATGTAAAACACTAGGTAAAATTTTGTTTCGTTCCGATTTTTCCTTTTATTATTAATTTTTTTACTAATATATGAACATTAAAAACATTTTTTAAAAAGCCATTCTGTAAAAATCGTTTTTTACGCTGCCGCATATGCATGAGCTTTCTTTTTTCGCCCGCTTTGTGTCTTTACGTGCGTACGAGTGTAATTCGACATGCACTTAAATACATTTTTTTCTTTTTCAGGACGAATGGAAAACAGAAAAGATCGACGAGGTTTACGATGAACCGAAATTTACTTTGTACCTTGTTTCTCCATTACTATATTGAACTACATGGTCCCTTATAGTAAGGAAAGACGACCAGACGCAAGCAATCACAAGGGTGTTTACCAACGACAAACTCGCTGGGTTTAAACTTCAGGCTGGCCACGTCTTAGGGTCATCACTACCCCACCAGCGGGGGGTGACCTGTAGCGGTAAATAAATGCCTAAAATAGATAACTCTGTAAGTTTTCGACATTGGATGCTGACCACACTAGTTTTAATGAACTCACCTAGCTGAAGGCGTTCCATCACGCATCCGCACCAGATCACGAGTGGGAAAGCCGTGCTCAACATCCCTTGCAATCGCTAACCAATCTAGATCAATCGATCCTTGATATATTGATAACCTATCAAAAATATCTTCGAACCTACTCGCTTCTGTCTTTTGATTTCACCTGTTGGGTACGATTCGTAGTAGGTGTTACTGGTTAAAGCGTTGTCAAACTCCAAATACCTGTGGCATCTTCCTCATAAATGAGCATGCTCCTCATGCATGAGGACAGTTAGAGTCCAAGGAGGCAGCAACACTTATTTTAGCTTAAAAAGCTGACTTCGGCTTTCGATATCTACAAAATAATACTCAAAACAAAACAGATTAACATTTTATAGCATAAGACAAGCGAGCCCGCCTGAAGGAATACATTGACTTGAGTAGCAGCGGCAAAAAGATCGAGAAAACGAAGCTGATTTGGAGAAAATTTGCGCTAACATATGGAGTACTATGTTAAATGCGGAATTTCAGCACACTGAAACATTAGATTATGTAGCTATACAAAAGAAACAGCGGGACAAAACAGATCAATGACTATGTCAATCACACGAATAAATCAATGACTATTTGTGAGAGAGCGTTGAATCTTAGTGTGTCGTATCGTGAAATGTAGCTCCAAGAAGTATTTGTGAAATCGAATTGATTGTAGATATCTTCATAGCCTATTTGAGGTGTATTAAAATGATTCCCAAGGGTGTGTCCAATTGGGGAAACGTACGTAAATTCTTAGCAGTCAGGTTTAGAAATGTTTTACACATAGCCTCACTAAAAGTTATTGTAGAAGTTGAAAGTCCTGGACTATCTAGAATAAACCACAGTGCGAGGCCACATTGTCGCTAAACCTTATTGATTTGAGTGTTATAAAGAATATTGGCACCAATCTTCCGGTTTAGCGATAAATGTGCATGTTGTTAGGGTCGAGTGCCCGAAATGAAAATATTATACCAGTTTCTCATATGAGCTCAATTAATATTCTTTAACGTTTCCTGAAGTTGATTAGAGGTGATAGTGACACAACCCATCTGCTTACTCTGAAACAAACTCTCCGGCTTCAGCTACATAGAATGAGCATGATATTTCGTCTATTCACTCTAGCTGTCTCCGTTTACATAATATACACAAAGTGACAACCCTTGCCAATCACTATGATATGGTTATAGTATAGTGACTAGCCATGTGTCAATGCACTCAATTCAACCCGTGTACACATTTGCGTGTGAACCAAATATATGTTCCATGTATTGATTACTTGACATGAACTGGAAATTTTAGTAGTGAATAGAAAAGGTAACAGAAACTTATCTAAATAACCTAAAAGTATTAGGAAATATCTTATGAGTAAGCTATTATTCTTAGGAACCAGAGCTAATCCAAATCACTGCCACAATAGGTGAATTATTCTACCTCACATTTCCCATCATCGTTAAGTTTAGAATGTAACGCTGCTTATTGACTATCTAGTTTCCTAAAATGGTTACGTCAGTGACCAAATATTTTAGCATGCTCTATTTGACTTTGGAAATCCGAAACTTACCACGTCCTCAAAATGTACCTAGCTACTCAGATATACAATCCTCCCAATAGTCGAACTAGCGTGTTCCTACAGTATATTGATCGACACAGGTTCATATCTCGTGAAACTTAAGGTTTCCCATTGTTATGTACACAGATTCGCTCTAACTATGGAATGCTAGGCACGCATTATCCCGATGACACATATTTCACGAGCTACACGAACCCACATCAAGAAACTGTACATTCTTCTTAGATAGTGTCTGCCACCGGACTTGAGACTTTGTCACACCTAAAAAAATATTTGTTGCAAGTGATTAGTTTATTCACAGATCTCCCTTAACCACAACTAATTTCAGTTATCGGTGGCGAAATACTGAATGGAAAAGCGAAAGATTCCAATTCACGACAAGTATGCCTCAATGCCCCGCTTTTTGGTGTACGACTTCGGAAGGTAACTTAAGTGCACAAGATAACACCCTAATGTAGATTTCTGTTATTCCCGATGACTCAGATGCTATCGCAGAAGAAGTTCGCAACTATATGAACCGTTACGACTACGTAATAACATCGGGGGTATAGGTTCTACTCACGATGATGTGACATATGAAGGTGTTGCAAAGGCACTAAATGAAAAGATTATTATTCATCCAAAGTTCTTACAAACCCTCAGGAGACTATCAGAACCGAATATGATTTCCTCTTCAGACCCCATAACTAAACTTGCCAAAATACCGGAGTCATTTGAATTACTATATGCAACAGGAATCCAGATGGATAGTGAAAGTTCTTATCCCATTGACAAAGTGAAGAATATCTACATGCTCATTTGATGTATGGCACTAGAAATAACCAAGGCAATTTCAATTTCTTTCTATTTGTTTATTTTTAACAAATAAGAATCTCTGGAACCTAAGGAAAAGCCAGATCTGCATATAATATACGCTGCAGCTCTCACAGCTGAGTGCAGTGAAGTGACCATTGGTTTACCACGTATATAATCTGCAACAAATCCGGCAGCAAACGCATCTCCAGCACCATTTGTATCGATTATTTGATCGTCTGGAAACTGCTCCACCATAAATTGATGGATTTCTGAATCAAAAGAGTCTGTGTATACCAAAGGGTTTTTTCCTCGTGTTATAATGACCAGTCGTTTACGCTTTTCTCCATCAGCAAACGGTAAGTCAGCTATATACCGGGCTGTTGCATGAACAGTTCCATCAAGGAGACCGTGGGCCTCTCCGTAAGCTTCAGCTTCAGATTCATTTCCAAAGACAATACCTGAGTAGGATATCATTTCATCTACTTCTTTAGTATTAAACTGAGATAGAAAGGGAGCACTGAGATTGAAACAGAACAACTTTCCGTTCTCCAAAGAATGTTTGGCTACTTTCAGCATACCTTCATAACAGGTATTTATTACGAAACCCTTGAAAATAACTAGATAACACAGTTTAAACTTACTGCAATATAATACACTTGTGCTTTTTCCACAAGACTCCAAACATGTGGTTGTTCAATGTGCGCCAATGAAAGACCACACGCTGCTCCCAGGTAGGTAACCATACTACGTAATTTTTCGCTAACTAGGACTGCTACCTTTCCGGTCATAAGCGGTTCCGTCGCGATTTGGAATTCGGTCATTAAGTCCAACCCTGAACAATCATTCTTAATATATTTCCCTTGTATGTCGGCACCTATGCATCCGACGTACGAACACACAAATGGTTTTTGAAGTATCCACTGAATCATTTTGACTGTGTTTAATGTAGCTCCTCCAGCAATATAATTCAACCCTTTTTTCTTTTCAATTTCGTCGTAAATAGTCATGTGTTTTTCTTCAGCTAGTACAACGTTGTCTTTTTTAAGATTGTATTTTCGATACATATAGTCGTCAGCGTCTACAATGATATCTAACAACGGATTCCCCATCCCGAAAACATAACCTTCCGGAAGATCGTACATTTCACACAGCTCCACTTTCAAAGTGTGCGGCTTACTCCAGCGAATGTATATATGTTGATTTCCAGCCAATTGGCGTGTGGTATGATTTCTGTGGAATTTGATTTGCTGTTTCTAGGCCATTACATTGTCGAACATTGGAAGAGCATTGGATGGTATAGAATATACTGTGCCAAAAACTCTGTGGGTGTTTAGGCGGGCTTAACATTTGATTGGTTTGTCGGTCACAAGGAAAACTTGGTTGTTGAGACCATAATTTATTGACGACCTTTGGGCGACTCTAAAGTGACCTCAATTTTCAACCTACTTACCAGATTCAAATGTGACGAATTAGATTCATGGTTTACAGGTGGACGTTAGGTTTAAGAATTGAATTTAGAGTTTACTTCACTAACTGCCAAAACGCTATTTAGCCAACTGATTGAGTGAATTTCGCGCCAAATCCTGGGGTTGTTATCCCTAATCCGATTGGTTTGTCTCTAAATTGTGGTTTCGCTGCGGAATCATTGAGATTATTATGGATGGTGCTTGTGTCATCTAGCTTCCATCTATTTCATTTTCTAAGACTATGCAGTTTGCACTTTGTAATTGGTTGAGCTTACCTGTAAGAGTTCGTCTAATGTAAACCAAACGGATATGACGGCAGTGATACTATCGTATCATGTTCGATACTTTCACTCACAAGTGCGCTTACTTCGAAAGGTCTTCCACTGTCAATCATGAACATCGATTCAATGTTTTTGTATTCCACATAGACATAATTCATCTTTTTCACTTAGTGAGAAAAGAACAAATGGAGCGAAATTTCTTTTCAGTTTTTCTTCGTTGCTCTCGCTATGTTAACGTGCTAAGCATTTAAACGTCAGCCAACATTGCATATTGATTTTCGTTGGACAATCATGGAAAACTGGGGGTCACTGAACGGCTGTTTTGTCTTTAAAAATGAGCACCCGTAACCCTGTCAAAAATCAATCTCAGGAACTGCATGTTCCGGGCTGAGTGGGTTAACTTCCGATCACTGAGTTGAAATCCGGTGGTTCACAGTTTCCAACTTCAGTCAAATCATAATATTTTGCTGCCGTCATTTGCACATGAACATTCTGAGTCATATCTCTAATAAGATCATGGGTGGACACTGCTTTGGAATTCCTTATTAGGATAAGTAACAGTTCATTGCTCCTTGGTTTCCAATAACTGTTGACCTAAGGTCATCCACGATCCCGCACCACGCGGGGCTCAAACCCAGGACCCACTGGCTTCGCGCGCGAGCACTTAACCACTAGACCACTGAGCAGGCATCCAACGGTGTTAAGTGCTCGCGCGCGAAGCCAGTAGGTCCTGGGTTCGAGCCCTGCGTGGTGCGGGATCGTGGATGCGCACTGCTGAGGAGTCCCATACCAGGACGAAACGGCCGTCCAGTGCTTCCAGGTTTTCAATGGTGGTCTAGCTTCAACTGACTCATGATTTCAAACTGTGAAATTTCTAAAATTCTCCACAAAACCCATTCTGATGATAATATTTCAGTTAATGTTTTGATCCAAATGGCGAAGAACTGTTTACGAATTCCTCATGTTTATGACTATACAGTCCTATGAATGTAATAATTATAATCACGAAACAATCTTAATATAAAATTTTTTATATGTTCACATGAAGCTACCATATTATCTACTTGTAAACAATTTATTGTGAGTAGTACAAACAATGTCAAGATATTACATACACTGAAGAGACGTGATTTAAATGCTCAAGCATTTGTTTCTTAGAGAAAGAATCGAACTCCCCATTACTTCTGGAAATTTAGGTGTTTATCCAAGATTATTTGTTTTGAAATTCAAAGTTTTGTAAACGAATGTTTATTCAAGCCCTAGTTGTGGTAATACACCATATACTTACAATAATGTGCAGATATATGACCTAACCGACGATCATACCTGTAATCTCAAAGTGAAAATGATACTACACAATCACCAAGATTAGGTCCAGTGATTAACCCTTGATTAATTAATGATTAATTACATGACATAATTACCATTGGCATAGTTTTTTATTAGCTATAAGTTTCCTCTGTTGTCAATATTTTTATTTCAGCCTAAATTCTATCTTTTTTTATTGACTTTTATACCAATTTTTAAATAAACAATACCGCGTTTTTTCTGTATTACAGATACACATCAATTGGAAGTATGGAAGATACTCATCCCAATCCACGATTAAGGTATATAACAGAAAGTGGACGAATCGCATACCATCCAGCATATACACTGAATGAGGAGATTTGTGAACGCATTGGTCGTGTACATGAGAATACTAAAACTGATTAAAGTGAAACCACCATCTACTAGTTCTGCGATGTAATACTCGTAAAATAATTTTGTGATAGATATTTGTAATTTTGAATAAATAGCCATAAAAGATTGTTTTCACCACTGTTCAGTACCACACGCATCCTGAATACACTGACAATAAATTTTCAGCCAGGAATATGAACACATATAAAACCTATCCTAGTTACTTCTTACTAATAATGTTATTACATAGATTGGTGAGATCTATCTTACTGGTGTATTCTTTATAATGAAATATCGGAACAAGTCGTGCAGGCTTACTGATAAATGAAACCCGCCACAATCATTTGTCACATTCACCGGAAATTTCGAATAGATTTGAATACTACTTATATTCTCGAAATATCCCATAGAGTTCTTCACTGGTCGATTGGTAATCGAAGGAAATTTTCGAATTTCACTTTGAGTACATTTAGGTCGCTAGTTCGTAGCACGGTTTACAATTCAAGTCTTCCACACGTATTATGGGTTTAACTATGCAATAAATAGTGCTTTTGTCGTGCAAAGCATATAAAACTCTATGATAGTTCGGAGCTAGTTCTCATTTCGAACATTGATTTTCAGGGAAAATAGCTTATTTGGTTTTTGCTCAATGGATGAAGTCGTTTAATAGTTAAAATTTTATTGCATGGCAAGTACACGAAATTTATAATGAAGTTATCTATAAAAAATAATTAAATAGTTTTACAAATAAAAGATTATGGAATGTTGGTGTAATTCATAAGAATAATTTGGTTAATTAGGCTTGTAATGTAAGAGTAGTCTGATAACACCCACACAATTTAATGTGATGACCCAGACGAAGCTGTAAAATCTAATTCACTTTCATCGTTTAGTCTAAAATATGATTAAATTGTGTTAACATATGTATTTAATGTGATATCATCGATACGTAAAAAGTGAATAAAAGAGATGTGCGATTAATTCTGGATATTTTCAATCAAACAGGAGAGGATTCTGTCGGGAAGTTGTGACGTTTTATTTAGTTTGTATCCAGAAACACCAGTACATTACCATGCATTCTAAAAAGCAGTTTATGTTTTATAGCACCTTCAATATTACGGGAAATGTCAGTTACTCAATCGTGAGACCTTTTTGTACAATAAAACAGTTTGCTAGGAGACTGTTACGAAGGAAAAAATGTGTAACCTGATATGTGCCGGATTCTATGTTCCAAATGACCGACTGATTTGGCATAGTAGAAGGGAAGACCTAATTACAATTAAACTAGCTAACATCAAAGTGCTTCGAGAATTTTAGGTCAAGTAAAGATATCGAGTGTGCCGGCCTAATCGTATCGAAAATATCCACTGGTTTCATTTTCCATGGGGCAGTCAATGTTTTTGCACAGTGTTTGGCAAGCAGTCTTTTTTCTTTGGCATTCGTTACGGTTGTCTGAAATTACCCAATAAATTTGGTGGTAGTTATTATGCTTGTCCGAATAAAGTGAATGACACATCCAAATGTTTAAACCTTACTTCGATTGATCGAATTCATCTAAACTGTAACATATTTACGCAGTTACTTACTGATCCCCAGTTTTTTATACATCGTTTCTCAGATATAGAGCAACAATTATTATTGTTTCCTGAGGATGCAACAGAAAATTGTAAGTGTTGTCAGTTTAGATTGCAATGTTTAATTGGTTGGTGGGTAAGAAAAGTTGTGATGTTTGTACATAATAATGGTTACTTTGTACATTATTGCGCATCTAGTTCAATTTGCAATATAATACCTTCAAGTGTGTACAGTCTTATATCTAACTTGAGTGATGGTCCATTCATGACTACTAGAGTACATATTGAACAGATCTTGGTATTGTATCCAGCACTCCTAATCCTACTTATCTTGACCCGACTGTTGTTGCTACCTTGACGTGGTGGTCGGGCTTGCCTATCGTGATGAAGCAACCAAGCTTTACTGGCTGGAACAACCGTTTCTCAAGGTCCTACCATGTCAAAAAGGTCGGTTGAAGAACGGTAAGACGAAAAGCAACAAACCCAAGGTCCGAAGGCGAAGTCGTACTGCTGACTGTACAGAGGTGTGACAGCAGTAAGGTGTTTCCTTCAGACAACCCGCATGACAACGATGCTGCCTCCCCACAAGAAGAGGTGGAGTTAGAAAAGGTCAACCCTAAAAATGGACACCGCATTATCCCACGGATATCCGTCTCAGGCGGTACGGTCTCAACAATTACGAAGCTAACACGAAAACCACTCCCAAAAATGTCGTGTGTGATCGACCTCACTCAGTAGTCTCGTGGGCACTGCAGTCACTCTGTCAGGTCACCAAGATCACCTCTAATCCAATTTCCTTTTCAGGTACCTCTAGAGAAACCCTTCCGTGGTGTGGGCAACCGGGAAGTGAAAACCGCCCTCATACCTCTAACAGCACTCAAGACCACTATGTTTATAATCAACCTCCCTCTTCAATTCCTATTATTCCTCCTCCATCGACTTTCGACGCCAAACTTCCTCTTTCGGCTTCCCCCTCAAGTGTCACCATAGAGAACGATTCTAGTGCTCAAAACACTGTCCCAGGTCTACTGAAACCTCGCTCCAAACTACACACTGGAGCCTTCAACGTACGCACTCTATGTCAAATCGGTCAACAGCCTTCTTTGGCTAGAAACCTAGAATCTCGTACCATTGATGTATGCTGTGTCTCTGAAACACGCATACAGGATCCTAGTGTGGTCATTCACTTTACCTCACCTCCGCAAAACGGAGAGCCAACGAGATACACCCTCCGTGTATCTGGTGACCCGACAGCCAGCTCTCGTGGACTAGCAGGTGTGGGCATCGCACTAAGCATGAGGGCGGAACAAGCACTATTAGGGTGGATCTCCGTTAACAGTCGCCTATGTGTTGTTCGGCTAAACGGTTCCGCAAGAACTCAAAAGGATAGGGACACACGTCGTTGCCTTTTCGTCGTTTCTGCCTACGCTCCCACTGACCGCACCCTGGATGAAATGAAAGGCGACTTTTACAGAAAGCTTTCTGAACTTCTTCAAAAAGCTAAATGCCCGAACATAGTACTTCTAGCAGACGACTTTAATGCTCAAGTAGGTAGGTTAAACCAAGCAGAAAGACATTTAGGTGGGTATTCTGGTATTCCAGATCAGAGAACAGATAATGTTGACCGTCTGCTGCAACTGTGTTCAGACGGTCGTTTATTTCTAACAAGCACTGATTTTATGCATAAGGAGACTTGAGTGATGGTCCATTCATGACTACTAGAGTACATATTGAACAGATCTGGGTATTGTGTCCAGCACTCATAATTCTACTTATCTTGAAAAACTGGATACTAAGAAGTTTCTTCTGTTAATTTCAACAAACAGGATACCTCTATGTATTCAAAAAATTAGTTTGGATAGTGCGATGAGAAGACGAAGGTTATTAGAATAATGTGATATAGTCGCGCAATACAGTTCGAACAGTTTGATTACACATATACTTGGTAAGACTTTGTATACAAAAAATAAAAGGTCGACTAGACAAATGAAAAGGCAAGGGGGAACAAGGTACACGATGTGGAAAACAACGCTTGATAATAAGCCAGCATTACCAGGGTAGGTTAACGGCAAGAACAGATTGTCTTTGAACACATAAAGCGGGTTTCAGTTTTGTTCACAGACATTCAGTGTCCCCAGTCAGTCAGTCAGTCAGCTACAACGTGGGACCAGGCACATATGTGCATCGGTCCAGGTTGCCATACCTCATTAGCACAGCAAGATGAACAGCGGATTCATAGGAGTGGTTAGGTCAAAGGTTGCAATAAGGATATAGTATAGGAAGAAAGAATTAGTTCGTAGACAGAAAGAATGAAGTGATTTTAGTCTCTTCTTTTAAACTAAGAGACTAAAATCACTTCATTCTTTCTGTCTACGAACTAATTCTTTCTTCCCCAGCTATTTGTAAAACATGTATGCAACTTCTATCTATCATGAACAACGCAAGAAATATTGTACTTTAACAAAAGATAGTGCCCTCATATCTGGCAGAATGAGACAATGAAACTACACTGTAAATATATCAACTGAATAGGTTGTAAAATGGACAAATTTCAGAGGTACCGTTAAGAATAAAATAGTTCATTAGTACGGACGGTGTGCTTAATTGGTAATCAATTAAGGATGTTTATTCGCACCAAAAAACAACATTGGAATTTTAAATAAAATGTTTTACAATCAGTAATGAAAGATTAACAGACTTGGTGAAATTTAAAAGATTGAATCACTGACAAAACTTAGCAACAAATTAAGTTTGGCTAATTGAAGTAAATACCAAACATAAAAAGTGTAATATGACATAAGTCGCTTTTATGATAAATTTATGATGTATTATAGGTGTAATAGTATGCAAAATTGTTATTAGTATTGTATATATTTATCAAAGGACACAAAATAGTGTTTATTAGGTGAAATCCATTAGACAGTTTTACTTACTCTTATGAATTATACCAACATTCCATAATCTTTTATTTGTAAAACTATTTAATTATTTTTTATAGATAACTTCATTATAAATTTCGTGTACTTGCCATGCAATAAAATTTTAACTATTAAACGACTTCATCCATTGAGCAAAAACCAAATAAGCTATTTTCCCTGAAAATCAATGTTCGAAATGAGAACTAGCTCCGAACTATCATAGAGTTTTATATGCTTTGCACGACAAAAGCACTATTTATTGCATAGTTAAACCCATAATACGTGTGGAAGACTTGAATTGTAAACCGTGCTACGAACTAGCGACCTAAATGTACTCAAAGTGAAATTCGAAAATTTCCTTCGATTACCAATCGACCAGTGAAGAACTCTATGGGATATTTCGAGAATATAAGTAGTATTCAAATCTATTCGAAATTTTCGGTGAATGTGATAAATGATTGAGGCGGATTGCAGTGTGACGACTAGGATAAATGATTTGAATTTGCATCGCACTTCGTTTTGATGTTAGTAGGTTAAATGTAGTTGAAATTAAGCATTGATTTTAGGTTTTATGCTAGTTGAAGCTCGTCAGCAATCTTGAGGGAAATAAAATTGTGTTTTGAATTTTCGTTAACACCTCTCAGGTTCATAATGTAAGACGCCATCGTCGACCTCTCAGGCTGAGACAAGTTTCCGATGAGGCCTCGATACTCGCATTAACTCGACATTACATATTAATCAAGGTTCTGCTACCTAGGCCTTAGTTCAAACTCGGCGGAGATTGTCTGTTACATAAAATTAAAGGTCTAAGGAAAGCTAAGGGCAGTCAAAGTAAATGGATGCATTTGTTCATGAAGTTACTAAGTCCCGGTTCGAACCATGTTGGTGGTTGTAGAACATTTGACTGAGGTCCGTATGATTATCGGGAACAATGGCGTACGGCATAAAGTGATATGTGTAAACATCGGTAGCAACTTCTAGGACGCTTTCACTGTTTATCTTCCCTTAGATCTTTAGTTTCAAAATTGTCCATTGCGTAAAGGGATTTTTCCACTCTAATCATATTGTTTTTTAATACCACTGATAACGCCTCTCTTTTACCCTGGTTTTCACCTCACTACGTTGAGGTGTTGTAGAAACTTGGGTTGATACACATATGTAACAGGTTCTATGTTTCTTATAAATGACAGACTGAATATTGTAAATGCGTCTTACCAGCGAATGGAAGCTATCACGAGACATAGAAATACGTCAAATGCGTTCAACCAACTGATACGATATCTACTTAACTGATAGAGAGATTTAGCCTCGCTTAAAACTGTTCCATAAAAAAACCTAAAAACTTTCACTTGAAAAGACTAGTAATAAGACATTAAAGAAAGGCATAAATACCTAAAATGAATACAAACGAAACTATTACTTAATAAACATCATTAGTAGTAAAAGTACAAAAAAGTGCGTTTATACCTACAACAATAAACTATAACAAAGATTAATTTAGAAATTAAAATGATTCATGTGGTAAAGCAGTTCTTTTAGGGAAAAACGCATGATCTAGTGGAAAATGTAAGAGATTCGTAACTCTTGACGTATACAGTGTTGCATATTGTCCAAGACGTTGTGAAAAATAAGACGGATTATGAAAAGAACGAAAAATACTTCCGAATTGTGGATTAAATACACATTTACTAGCACGTCTTAAAGCATTTCTTTCATCAAGCCACTTTTCAAGTAATAATTTTGCTTCAGCTGTATGAACATGCTGAAAAGGAAAAATAGGTGCAAAATAATATACAACTGTACTGACTTTAGAATTAAATGTACTCACATGATTTTTTAAATTAAACATGTAGTATCAAGATGGATGAACAAAATTTAATTCAATGTTTTAATTTTTACCTATTAACATGTGAAGTTGAATCAGAAAAATGTTATCTATCAAACGCTTTGAATGTCCTCATTCACTAATACAGAGTATTCACTTTCTGGCAGTTAGCCTGATTAGTTTAAGTCTATTAGATTGTCGGACGTCGATAAGTATGTCTGTGTTCTAGAACCTGACGAATGGTGAATATGTGGTCGATGCAGCCACGAACAGGTCTGAAACCAGCTTGATTTTCTCGTGTTTGCAGTTAGTTCACGAGTCTTTGTTAGACGACTGATAATTATTGAGGATAGTATTTCAGATGCTATATTAGTTAAAATAATCCCTCTATGGTTGTCACAGGATGATTTTAACCCTCTCTTATATATTGGGACGATAAGTGATTGTGATCAGTCATATGGAATAACATCTAACTCCCAGATCTTAGCTAAAATATTAGTCAACCTAGTCGCTAAAATTGGACCACCATCCCCAAAGACCTCTGGAGTCAGTCCATCTGGACCAGCTGCATTTCCTCGTTTCAGATTAGCTAAAGCCTTTTGAACTTCAGCTAGAATCGAAGGGCCTTCTTCAATATTCCATTCACACTGTCTGGGAATAGAGGGTAGTTGTAGAGTAGCTGAAGTTCAGCTGAACTGTTCTCTGAAATGTTCCGCCCATCGTTCTAAACGTCTGGACTGAGAGTAGAAAAGTGTTGTCTTTTTCCGAAATAGTCTCACTTACACTTGACTTATCGATTCTAGTTTCTTTTGTTTGTCTGGAAAGCTGTTTGATGTTACCTACAACCGCTGCCTTTTCCATCTCTTTTGCTTTCGTTACCCCCTACTCTTCATGGTCATTCCTTAGACTTTTGCTTAACCTAGGTCTCATTTGTTTTCGCTCTTCATTGGGTTCAGAACCTGATGAGATGAGTTTACGGGAATCCATCAGTGCAATAAACCTTGAAAAAATCCATTGAGTTTTTGTTACTTTTGGTTTAAATCAATAATAGATATCACCGTTGTTTCCACGGCTGTTTGTATATCTTTCCATGCAACATATGGGTCAGCCTCGTTTACAGAACTACCTAATTGTGACCTCAGTTGTACCTGGAACCTAACTTCGGTTTTCGCGCTACTCAATTCAATTCTAATGGGTCTTTCTAGTGTGGCTTTCTTGCGTCCAGTGAGGCGCAAGCAGATGCGTGCCCGTACTATGACGTGGTCGGAGTCCAAGCAGGTACACCAGAATGAGCGACAATCTTCTATCGACCCTCTCGAAAGATGACTGATGGCAATATGATCTATTTGAGTCCATCGTTGGTTTGGTGCAGTGGGTCACCATGTTAGACGATATCTCCTTATGCATAAAATCAGTGCTTGTTAGAAATAAACGACCGTCTGAACACAGTTGCAGCAGACGGTCAACATTATCTGTTCTCTGATCTGGAATACCAGAATACCCACCTAAATGTCTTTCTGCTTGGTTTAACCTACCTACTTGAGCATTAAAGTCGTCTGCTAGAAGTACTATGTTCGGGCATTTAGCTTTTTGAAGAAGTTCAGAAAGCTTTCTGTAAAAGTCGCCTTTCATTTCATCCAGGGTGCGGTCAGTGGGAGCGTAGGCAGAAACGACGAAAAGGCAACGACGTGTGTCCCTATCCTTTTGAGTTCTTGCGGAACCGTTTAGCCGAACAACACATAGGCGACTGTTAACGGAGATCCACCCTAATAGTGCTTGTTCCGCCCTCATGCTTAGTGCGATGCCCACACCTGCTAGTCCACGAGAGCTGGCTGTCGGGTCACCAGATACACGGAGGGTGTATCTCGTTGGCTCTCCGTTTTGCGGAGGTGAGGTAAAGTGAATGACCACACTAGGATCCTGTATGCGTGTTTCAGAGACACAGCATACATCAATGGTACGAGATTCTAGGTTTCTAGCCAAAGAAGGCTGTTGACCGATTTGACATAGAGTGCGTACGTTGAAGGCTCCAGTGTGTAGTTTGGAGCGAGGTTTCAGTAGACCTGGGACAGTGTTTTGAGCACTAGAATCGTTCTCTATGGTGACACTTGAGGGGGAAGCCGAAAGAGGAAGTTTGGCGTCGAAAGTCGATGGAGGAGGAATAATAGGAATTGAAGAGGGAGGTTGATTATAAACATAGTGGTCTTGAGTGCTGTTAGAGGTATGAGGGCGGTTTTCACTTCCCGGTTGCCCACACCACGGAAGGGTTTCTCTAGAGGTACCTGAAAAGGAAATTGGATTAGAGGTGATCTTGGTGACCTGACAGAGTGACTGCAGTGCCCACGAGACTACTGAGTGAGGTCGATCACACACGACATTTTTGGGAGTGGTTTTCGTGTTAGCTCCGTACTTGTTACAGCCATTATAGCTCGATCGGTTCATTACGATAGGCAAGCCTGACCACCATCTCAGGGAGCAGCAATTGTTACTATGGAGACAGGAGTTGAGTTAAATGTATTTATAGTAAATTAGATTGGCATACCTTGGACTTTGTAAGACAACTTTTTGGTCCGTGTACTTATTAGACATAGCAGTATATATAGTCAAGTATTTCTTTGAAGTTCAAGTGTCAATTAACGTCAATTCAAATTATCTATTTTTAAAAGTATTTAGCATTCTCAGCTTATTAGTTTATAAGTCATAAAATCAGTAATTATCCACCAAGTGCTCAAAGGCAAAACAATTTGATTCATGTTCCTTAATAACAACCAAGTTATAGAATACTTCTTTTTTAGTAAGTTGATAGGTAACATCGTACACTTTCATGTTCTTTATATGTCCATAAAACGAGTAAATTTGAAGTTTAAAAAAATGTTTAACCTTTATAAAATAAATGCAATAAATAAAAACTTTAGAGCTTTTTTTAAAAAAATGAGGCTTTGATTAGATTCATAATTGTTAACAAAATTAAGTTAATAGGACTATTCAAATCAAATTTACTTGGTTTTCCTGAATTAATCTTTCTAGCATTCTTAAACGTTTTAAATTAATTTTGAAATCATGATTATTCGCAGCAATAAGTTCACTTTCAAGTTCCGGTATAACAGCTCCAGTCATCCAACCATATGTACTGGCTACATCCTAATAAAAATAAAACAAGATTGATTTAATTTCCAGCATGCTTCTTTATAGTAATACATTGATTGTGTGTCAGGAAAGAAAATTTTACTTCATATTTACCAACTTCGAGATCAACAAGCTGGATTCCGAAAGGATCGGTCGTGCACAGACCAAATTGCAACACTACGGATCATCGTCGAACAATCAGTTGAGTGGGACTCGTCACTATACATCAACTTCATTGATTATGAAAAGGCATTCGACAGTGTAGATAGGAGGACATTATGGAAACTTCTTCGACACCACGGAGTTCCTGAGAAGATTGTCAATATTATCCGGAACTCATACGACGGACTACAGTGCAAAGTAGTGCATGGAGGACAGCTGACGGATGCATTCCAAGTAAGGACCGGAGTCAGACAAGGCTGTTTACTCTCTCCCTTCCTCTTTCTTCTGGTGGTCGACTGGATTATGAAGACCTCGACATCTGAAGGAAAACACGGAATACAATGGACAGCTCAGAACCAATTAGACGATCTGGACTTCGCAGATGACCTAGCCCTCCTATCACGTACACACGAACAGATGCAGATGAAAACAGCCACTGTAGCAGCAGTCTCTGCATCAGTAGGCCTCAGTATACACAAAGTGAAAACCAAGGTCCTCAAATTCAAAGCGGAGAACAGCAATCCAATCACCCTTGATGGCGAAACTCTGGAAGATGTAGAATCCTTCACATATCTGGGAAGCATCGTCGATAGACAAGGAGGTTCAGATGCAGACGTAAAGGCGAGGATTGGCAAAGCAAGGGCCGCATTCCTACAATTGAAGAACATATGGAACTCAAAACAACTTTCAACCAATATTCAAGTCAGAATCTTCAATACGAACGTCAAGGCAATTCTACTGTATGGAGCTGAAACTTGGAGAATTACAACAACCACAATCAAGAAAGTACAAGTATTTATAAATAGCTGTCTACGCAAGATACTCAACATCCATTGGCCGGATACCATCAGCAATAGCCTTCTGTGGGAGAGAACAAACCAACTTCCAGCTGAAGAGGAAATTATGAAAAGACGATGGAAATGGATAGGACATACATTACGCAAATCGTCAAACTGCATCACGAGGCAAGCTCTAACTTGGAATCCTGAAGGGAAGCGGAAAAGAGGAAGGCCAAAGAACACATTACGTCGGATAATAGAAGCAGATATGAAAAGGATGAATTACAACTGGAAGGAGCTGGAAAGGATTGCCCAGGACAGGGTTGGATGGAGAATGCTGGTGAGCGACCTATGCTCCTTCACGAGGAGTAACAGGTGTAAGTAAGTAAGTAAGTAATGGATTATTCGTTTTATGATTAAAGTTAGTAAAGATTGATTGAAAATAAAGACTACAAACGCAAACATGAACAACACTGTTTATTGTATAACTTCGTTTGATATGAAGCGGAAGTTGGATACTGATCCATAATTGAAAATTATGTGACCGAAAAGTTTATTTAGACTAAACTCCCATAGAAAAAATGTAGCATAATGAGAAGACAAAGTTGATCTGAAGAAAATGTGACGTACTTGAGTGAGGCATTACGAATAAATTAGGATTATGAACTTACTTTTCAAGGGAATTTACATAAATATAAAGAAACGTCAAATCAATTAATAGTGATAGATAAAAATATAAACGATCACAAGAGATAGTATAAAAATAAGAAATAGAAATATCAAATATTGGTGCCAGACTTGGCATTAAACAATGGTTAAAGATAATCACGGGAAGTTCGAAGAGAGTACAAATTGCTGTTTAAAAACATAAAAGAGGAATGAATTTTCTAATGAGTACAACTTCTATAAACTGAAGAAAAACTTCTTGGCAAGTTTTATTTAAGGATTGAAAACTGTTTTAGGTCAACCCTATATTCTGTTCCAGTTATATACTTCGTCGATGGAGGATAATAGATGTAAATACGCTGAATTTATTTGAGTTTGAAACTGTAAGTTTTCATCCATTCCGCCACATATATTTCACCACTCTTAATTATATAGTTAGACTACTCTATTGTTAATAGATCATACACACACGTTAACTGGTAAATCCAATGTGATATATGACGTAATCATCCACTCAAAATTGAAGACCAAATAAAATCTTTTTTTGCGCAACAATAAACCTGACCAATTCTAGTTTCCGTTTAAAAATTATCTGATTTGACTCTCTTTAGTAGAGCAATGTGAACACGATTCTTCGCGATGGATTGGAAAAGGATTTTAAATTTCTACATTGACTAGTAACTTGAAAAACTACTTGTTATCAGTCATCAATTCGACGTATACTATACGCGTATTTTCATGGCAGGTAAATTTTATGGAATAGATAACTTGCTGGGGCATACGAATAAGAAAATCTGACAAATATGTGAAAACTGACGTCATTCAGAGTTAACACAAGCCTGATCTATATCCCCTACAATCTAGTTATTAGTTTCTGTAGTACCACAGTGGAAATTCAAACCCATAGAGTTGATGAGCTATTATAAGTAAAATGATACAATGAATAAATAAAAGCACTGAATACAGTATCATACTGAAGGCTATAAAAAGTGAACATTACACTGCTAAAGGTAATAATAATTATGAAGGATTATACATTTTTGAAAAAAAGGTTTTTATTTATATGTTCAATTTAATTCATCATTGATGGATGAGCTATGATACTACATACATACAAGTAAATGGGAGAGTATTGTGAACTACTGTAAGAAATAACTTTAGACAATTTTATAATAATTAATTATTTTAAAAATTAATTATTTATTTAAGTAGATAAAGAAAGAAATCTATTGAAGTTCACAAGTAAAGTGGCATTTTCAGCAACATTTGATAATAACTGTAATGTCTTGAAACACATTAATTTGACAAAATTATGTATAACTTGAGCTAAGTACTGATTTCTGCTATTGATAAGGATGTTTACTAAGACTGAGAAATACTTCTGCCTGCTACTTATTGTGACGGAATAAGACTACTTTGTTGACGAAAAGTAGAAAACAAGACTGAAGAAGCAGAGTGATTTATTCACCAGCCACTAATTAAACGATATTCCAAATAGTGGTAATAATGAGTTATATATCAATTTTAATGTTTGGTTTATCAATCATCAAATGTGTACGAACAATTTCAAAAAATTAATAAATGAGCTGGCTTAGCCGAGAAATATAATTCTTCACTACATTATATATGTCTCCTTCCTGACAAGAAAAATAAATGTTCATAAAAACACACAAAAATACATACATAACAATTACAACAGAATGTATATTGAAAAATTGTTAACAGTTTATTCTGAAACTGGTAAAATGACGCAAGTTACCTTATACACACGATTAAGTTAATGCTGATTATTATATGCGAATAAAAAATAAGGATAACTTATTTTAATAGAAGGAACTCATACACTAATTAAACTAGACGTATGAAAAGTTGTTAATCATGTAAAACAAATTATTTACATAATACAGAACTTAATATATCATTTGATAGGATAGTATAAGCATAGAGCTGTTGGTCTAACATTGATCAGTTTATGATCTAAAAAAATCCAACAATCTCAACAACTCTATGCTGATAATTATAATGTCCTTACTGGTAGCTAGCTTCAAAAGTTAATTCTCAGAGTTCTAGTGAGAAGATATGACCAGTGGTGTTCAAACATTTCGGGTATGGGGCAGTTATCCACCGAAGATGATCGCGCGATATCGTGGATTAGTTAAAGATAGATATCAACACCTCTGGATGCCGGCTCAGTGGTCTAGAGGTCAGGTGTTCGCGCCAGATCGGAGGTCTTGGGTTCGAGTCCCACCGCATGCGGGATCGTGGGTGTACACTGCAGTGCAGTTCCATACTAGGACGAAACGGCTGTCCAGTATTTCTAGGTTTTAAAGGGTGGTATAACACTGATCATTTATTGATCTCAGTAAAAACTCAATAATCTCCAAAACCTTATAATAATTATTTTGTTTATTTGAACTCTTAGTTAATTGACTTTTATTAATTTGTGTATAAAATGCCTTGGCAAGTGTATATGTGTGACCAGGTTGTTCAAAATGTGTAGTACAAATAAATCACGCTTTTCACAGCAATTCCGCTTCTCAATGTTCTATCAAAATTTAAGATAATTTAAAAACATCCGACCGTATTGTGTATTGTGAAATCAGGTCATGTTAAAATTTATTATGATATAAAAGTGATTGATTAATTAATGAGCCTATAATTGTTTAGTCTAAAGTATACAATAATAATTTGGTCATTTCATCACAATTAATATATAAATAAATAGAATTACAATATTATTCTGGATACAAAGTTGATTAAATTCAACAAATCTTACTGCAAGATCAGCATAGACATGATCTCCAAAATATAATATACTAGCTGAAGACCAACCTGTAAGTTTTATCATCTGTTCTAAACAACCCTAGAAAAATAGAAATACAAGCATTAAAATCAAATATTAAATAGAACTTAAAGGTTAATAAAAAATGGTTTTGTTAAACTCAACAAATCAAAATGATTTGAATCATTTATTGAATATACCACCACTTTGGAGTACTTAGTTATAGTGAAATTAAAGTATAGTTGGTCATTGAGTGTGGACATACAAACGCAACCCACTGACTAGTAAATATGTGATTTCCTCTCCCTATTCATTTCTACTCAAGATTTATTGAGAGTGACTGTTTGTAATTGTGTTGAATAATGTAACATCTGGCGTTAATCTGGTTTTCTACTGTGGATTGTGAATCCTGGACTTGATATAATGTGACTAGTCTCACTATCGTATTAACGTATGATAGTATAATACATGAGAGAGAAAAACATTTTAAACCATCCGTTATATCATTTAAAGACCATCGGTCGTTTCTTATTAGCTAAAAGTAAACAACCTATTAAACAATTATTACATTTTTTATTTTAAGCATGAAAAACAAACACGTTTTACATTGTTTATAAACCTTCATCTATAAATTTCAGTTCATGATCTATGGAAGAAGGAAATAGAAGATGAGGTGATTCTAAATTACTCAAATCATAAACTGTTAATCATATATTCACAATCTTATCATGAGTTAGAATGAGACTGATATAAACTGTCTTATGACCCTTTTACGACATTTCCATGTTTAATTAAAACCTTATCGACTAGATTATATGTAGGGATGTCTTGATCAATTTGCTTAAATTCTTCCTTATCTATTTTATTAAATGTCCCCTTGTTCATTATTTACCGTTTAATTTAAATGTATTTCGATTGTGCTGGCCTTGCGTGTCTGTCATCTATACTTGATAAGTCTTCTCGATTGCACGCTATTTTGTCATATCGGGTCGTCGCTGATTATTATATGGGAATCGCTTATCACTTATATTCGAAAACGAGGAACCACTGCGATCCCACGACGAGGAAGTAAGAACACAAAGACTGGTACAAGTGAAGATTTATTAACCCCAAAACACGACGATGACTCCAGTTGAAAATACACTCATTTATCTATTGATTGTACACCCGCTTTGATTAATAATTAGGATGAAATCACATATATATGAAAAATACAGTTATAACAAATCACATGCTGCATGTCATGCTGTGCATAGTTCATGTCAATTGAACACATGATTATCGTACATTGGGTAATGATCACATTGAATTAAAAAGGAAGTAACGTTGAACGAAAATCATAATGAGTAAATTAATCTAATTTTGACTTTTCTTCCCGTCATATTAATACACTCATTTTTTAAATCTATAATTGATATATTATTCACCTTATTAAATACTAATTCACCCTTTTTTCACTGAGTAGACTTTTTCAGTTTTTCCCGCGAGCCTCTATTCAATTTCCTTATTCACTCATTTAGTTTGTCTACTTACACGAATGTCTGAAATATATCCCAAATGCAACTCGTATTCGACTTTTATTTCTAGGTTTTATTAACATGATTGGTGGACAGAGTTAAGCAGGCTATATATTTCATTAGCATCAATATCGCTCAATCATATTGGTGTCAACAATAGGCACGAAGCAGACAGTTAAACGTCGTTCCTCGGAATATTATTATAGTTGGCTTTTACATAGGTTTCTTGATACGTTATTAATAACAAGAGATCCAAGGTCAACAGGAGTGTACAGCTATAAAACAATTCCGAAAAGGGATCTAATGAAATCTCTCTTTTCAAACCTGATGTGAATTTCTTAACTAATTGAAACGCAAACAATATCATAATCGAGAGGAGCCTTACCTACATCTGTAGCGTTGGGTTTATTGAACGTTGAATAGCCTTAGGTGTGTATCTTACAAAATTTATTTGACACAAAATAAATATAACAAAATCACATGGAAACCATTATAGATACCTAAATATTGACCAATGTTAATCATTTGAACGATGATGACCAATTAGTTAATGTAAAAGTACAACTGTGACCATTTTTGTAAGATTCATGACAGTGTCATATTGTAAAATCAAAGTATGGTAAAATTAAGTTAAGATAACACAAATAAAAGTTTGCTTCGCATTCGATTCAAATATTGTGCTCTGTTCAGTATAAGCCGACAAATTTGGTCAACATTGATTATTATTTGACAAGGACACATCAGGGTCTGTTCAAAATTTTCGACTGCTATTTTTCTAAGCTTGAACATATTGCTATAAAACTTCTCACTTTAAAAAAAATAATTACTTCTATTGGCTGAATGTACTTACCATAACATCTTTATAATCACTTAATATATTTTGTATCGAGAAACATTTGCTGATATCATATATTGGGAAATGAATATTCAGAATATTATTATTATTGTCATTATGGTGAAAATATATCACAAGTAATTGAAGACATACTCCTTCATATATTTGACCTCGTTTAAATGTTTGAACTCCTTCCCAATGTTTGAAAGTCCCACTGATATCAGTACGTCGAAATTGCCTACAAAATATTTGAAAATAACTTAAAATACATGGGATAGGAGATATGACCTAATATTTATAGGATGCGGAATCATGAAATGAAAAAGCTCAGGGATATGTGTTTATGAATCAACCAATAGAATATGTTTCCCGAAAATGATGGACATTAATATGAGGAATGCTATGACAAATAACTAGGCCTCACTTCACAGGAAAGATAGGGTCTAAATTTAGATGATGAGCAGAATGATTACAAAGGGAATTCACCTTCCAAATTAAACCGGTGTATGTTTCCAATTATAGATATTTATATATGGTTAATATATATATATTCTCAGACGAAAGACGATATCATATTACACATTACTAATCCCTAAGAATTGGTTCATTCATAAGTACAGATATACTCTTAGACGGAATGACTACAATTTTAATTTTAATATTTAGAAAAAGCATGTAAAATGTTGCATCATAATATCATTAAGGTATATTTACATCGTTCTCAGTTAATGAGAAGCCTTGAAATATAATGAGTTCATGTTATTCAGTAAATCACGTTCGTCTTGTTTTATTTATATTAATCACGACCAGTTAATTTCAGTTTGTATAAAAACAATAATGTAAAGAAAACAAGCTTTATTAAGAAAGTATTGAAATTAGAAAGTGAAAAGTTTCACTGATCTTTTTGACTTGAATTGTTCAATTAATTAATCAATTGAGAAAAATAAATGCTTGAAATTACATACTACTTGTGTCTAAACTATATGCTAAGCCAGATACAAAAGCGAATGAGTTATAATGAGCTTGAATTGTAAGTATTGTTATTATTACTAGATAAGTCTTATTGTTCTGTTTTTTTATTCTATACAACAGACAGATTTTTTTCCAAATAAATGCACAGATTTACATCATAACCTTGTCCTTCAGTCTTTTGTTTTATAGTTCGCTTAAAACTTTTAGAAATATTGATAAAGAACTTTAAAATTTTTTCACGTTCTATTGTATTTAATCACTGAAAGAGAATAATCATTGATCAACCCCTATCTCATTTCGGAAATTTCACAGACAGTCGGTCATCAGACCTTCTAAACTAGGATTCAAATGTATTGTATTGAGATCAAAACAAAACTTCACAAGATTGTTGATCGTGAATTTGGCTGATAATTTCATTTGACCGGATTAGGAGTTTAAGAGAAATGGAGTAGGCGGTTCTTTACCATAATTTCAAATAGTCTTGAGTTATGCAACTTCAAATTACCGTGGTAGAATAATTATAAGTTCTTATGTTAAGATTAACACTAAAGAGCTCGATTGCAAATTTTTATTGCAAGGAAATGTTCTCACTCGTGGTCCAGCTCAGTTGCTAATAGGAGCCCCCTAACATCTGGATAAGTCGACTTGTCAGAGGAATATGATTAGGAGTGTGGTAAATTGTATTTGTCGAACGAAAACACTGATAATGTACACTTAAGCTTCTATCTAAAAGATTCCATTGAGTGGTCTGGTAGGACATCCGCATTTCCCAGCGTTGTCACTTGTTTTATCGAGGGAAATATATATATATACTTTAAAGTATTGCCAATCAGATATTTCCTACTGAATCTACAGGGGTGGTATTTCTAATCTGTGGTTACTTTATCCAACTTTCAATACGGTCAACATATTAGTAGATTCCATGATATAGTTATTATCAATTCTCTCGTCGTTAATCAATAAATCAAATGTATTAACATATATTTAACAGTAAAATACATGGGTTTTATCGTTAATGAATTGAAAGACCCACTACTTTAATATAACGAACCTAAATGAGAGTCACGATTGTTCATACAAGACAGATTGTCATTTGTGAATCCTGATAGTGATCAGCCTATTAACAATCCATTCACACTAAATTGAATTTATGGGTTTCAATACAGAGGAACTGATTATCAGAGAAGGCAATTTGTGTTGATTCAACAAAATTTATTTACATGATAATCAGGAAGTATAGAATAATCAAAACAATTTTTCACAGTAAATTTAACTACTTAAATAGTAAAAAGAGTATAATTTCGTTTACTCAAATAGAGACAACTAACTGGAAATAAAATTTTCAAAATTAGAGGATTTTGAGAGATCAGCTTTGCAAAACTTATACGGATAAGTACATGACCGCATGATGTATACTTGACATAAAATTTGAGGTGACAGTAAATAAGGCACACGAACAAATCATTAGGAGTGACAATGATAAATAAATCCACGCTATATTGAAACATCTAACTTTTTACTTCGTATGATAACAAAAAACGAACTCTACGTAAATTTGAAATTACAGCTAGTAGGTCTTCACTAAAAACAACAAAACTATATTAAGAGTAACTGGCGCAACTTTAGAAACCTCGAAAGTATAATGAGTGAAGGGAGTTGATTTGAAAAATATTTAGTACATTTCGAGCGATCTCATCACATAACACAGTACTTTTGAAATTTCCTTACATTGATATTCTAAGAAGATAAATACGTTTGGTTAATAGGTTCCTGGCTTTATTTTAAGGACTAGTAAGTATTACAAGAGTAAGGTATACACTAACGATGAGAAAACCGTGAAGTTTTTGGTGATGGGGTGAAATTACTTATTAGAAACCGAATCGGATGAAACATGCAGCAATGAAATATTATAAACAATACAATTAGATACATATAAATAAAAGAAAATGTGAAACTAACCCAAGTGGTGATTTAAAGAACGATGGCTTATTGGCTCTAGAAATGATCACGTCAAATAATTTTTGCCAGTCGTTTCCAACCAAAAATTTCAAACCTCTATCTCTTTGGTTATGAATTATGAAAGTAGGATAAATTAGTGAGTGAATAAAACAAATAAACGTAGATAGTTTAGGAAACAAACAACCATAAAGTAACATTCTAATACAGTATAAACATAATAATAATAAAGTATTTTGATTATAAAAACAGGTTGGTGTACACCGCTATGGGCCAGATATTCAGTGTGGGAGTTTGTTTTACTATCCGACTGCTTGAACTGAAGCGGATGAGACGGGATAGGAACATGGCGAGATGTTCGTTTACTGAATATGCTCCCATCAGGGTCTACAATTTAACAGATCAAACTTAATTTATAAGCTACAGTCGTCGTGTGATCTTTGATGAATGAACGAAAGTAATGTACCAATGAGAATCAAATTAACAAAAAGCTAAGTGAATATAATCATGTGGATAAGATAATTATTTATATTATTAGTTAAGAATACTGTTTATATGAAATTTCCTCTTTTGAGAAGAAACAGGAAATACGTTGTTCAGTGCTAGTAAAATTATTACTCGTTCATTGATAACGTTTCGAATTAATTGTGTTGTTAATAATGATATCGAGATATTCAATAGTCTTACTAGAGAATATTTTTCTAATATACAATAAAGTGATTACTGGTATATTATGTCTTCAGAAACGTGATTTCTCTGCGAAAAATGTAATCAAGTTGTATTCCCCATGGAAAGAAACAACTGTTCGAGACGCTTACAAAAATATTCAATAAGAAATAATCGATGTTCACTAGTTACAAAACGAAAACTGAGGTTAGAGCTATAGATAATGGTTGGTGTAAAATATTTAGTAATAGGAGACTTTTAGTGATGTTGTTTACACTGAATTAAATAATAAATTCCCCAAGGTTTTATTGACATTTTAAACGGAATTCTTAGCGCCCACTTCAAATAAAAGTGAGTTGTTGTTAAGCTATTCTCTACTGATAAACTTGTTTATAATGTATTACTTTCACAGGCTTCTTACCTTACTATGCGTCTTTGCATTCTCATAGCGTTTCAATAGGTTGACTTCTTACCATACGATTAATTAACCTTGTACGTATGCGTTAATAGATTCGATACATATTGACTAGTTAGTACGTTTTGGAAGCTTAAGATAGTAATATTGATCAATGAAGGAATGACTGATTATAAAGATATTTTTAAATAATTTCCTTCGATTGGTTTTAAACGATGTAGACTTACATGTAAGCAGCTGAACTGTTTGAAATAACAAATAATTTCTTATTATTTTTTACTAAGCGATATAAAAACGTAGATAGTTCTGGTGCCTTCGCAATATACCTTTCTGTAAAGTTAAAATGAATCATATTCTCAATAGATTGGATACACATGTTAAATTAAAACTTAGTTTTCTTAAAAGTAGGCATTATTCAAATATTAGTCTTTTAATATGATGGGGATCTTTAACCAATTAATGGAATAATCAATGAAAGTTATGATACAATGAACGTCCCTATCTATTCTGAAGCTTCTCGTTAGTACGTTACTTTTCACAGTTTGACGTCAACACTTATTGTTGTTAATGATATTGAAAAACATGTTAGAATTCATCAAGTACCATCTGAACTTAAGAACTTTTAAAAATTAAATTGCCATAAAATCAAAGCTTTTATATTCTATCTCAAAGGTAACCCATCAACAATGTACAGATATAAACTTTATAAGTAAGAAAAAAACACAACTCCCTTAGTGTTCAGGTACTGCTGAAAACCAAAGTGGATAGTGATCGATCAAACTTCTCAAAACAACGAAGTGGGATTAAAACTAGTATTGATAATTTATCGAACAAAAAATAAGACACACATGCTATCTAGAGATAGACTGTATTAAGTTACCTGGATCGGACATTACGGTTTGACCTAGAAGGCCAGATTTATGGACTCTTGCTACAGCTGTCTAAAAGATAAGTGTACATGGGATGAGAATTGTTAGTATTATCATGTTGACTTTAAATAAATAAATAGATATATAGGTATCATCACCAAGGTTTGACTTGATAATTTTGAATAAATTGAGCATAGGGTAGATTGTTATATATAAATAATATATTTGTAAAATCCCAGAGAATAAATAACCGAATCAAGAAAAAATTCTATTCATGTCAACACAGAACTGCATCTATAAATTAGGTTGTATCGATTGTGATGCTTTCTATATTGGAGAGTCATCTTGCGAAATCTTGACTAGAGCCAAAGAACATATTAGGTACACAAAGAAACCTCCTAACAATCCCGTAGAACTGGATAAACTTCAAATTAAATCGGCAATAGCAGTTCATGAGATTTTCAAAGACCATGAAATTAATTTCAAAAATATCAAAATATTGCAAAAAGGCTTTTCCAATTACAAAGAAAGGAGAGTAGCTGAAGCGTTCCATATAATGCTTAATCCTACTGTTCTCAATAGGAAAGAAGGCCTTATCATTTGTTCCTTACAATGCACACATACATAGACAAATTTACAAACACGTCGCTTATGAATTACAAACAAATAATGGATGTGAAAATAAGGTTAATGATGACAAACATAGAATAAAATAAATAAATAATGATAAAAATTAACAAAAAAATCGTTAATCAAGTTACAACTGGCCATGGAAGGGATAGGGAGGTTACGAATTTCTTCGGTACACATAAATTGGGGTTATATGTACGATTGACTTTCTCTCGTCGACCAGCGATGTCTACCCAAACGAAGGATAAGTTACCTGAGTTGGCCACCTCAATGTGCATTTACAAATTCAGCTGCTCGTGTGGAGATAGCCATATCGGGCGTACTACCAGGCAACTTGACCAACGAATGAGTGAACATCTACCAGCTTGGTATATAAAGGGCCAGATAAAAACATTCGCAGTTCTATCTTGGCATATCTTATTGATAGAGGTCATGCTGTAGATAAATCGAAATAATTTCGAGTGATCTATCGTATACCTCCATCATTTCCCAACGAAGTTCGTTTCCGCCTCCCACATATAGCTGAAGCCATAGGAATTCGTACACATAATCCCAATTTATGTGTACCGAAGAAATTCGTAACCCCCCTACCCCTTGCATGGCCAGTTATAACTTAACTAACGACTTTTTTTTAATTTTTATTATTTATTTAATTCTATTTTTGACATCATTGACCTCATTTTCACATCCCTTATTTGCTTGTAATTTTCCGCCTCCTTCCGTTTGTATTCTTCACTATCTAATTATTTCAGTCGGTCTTGAGTGCTGTTAGAGGTATGAGGGCAGTTATCACTTCTCGGTCGCCCACATCGTGGAAGGGTTCTTCTTGAGGTACCTGAAAAGGAAATTGGATTAGAGGTGATCTTAGTGACCTGAGAGCGTGACCGCAGTGCCCAAGGGACAACTGAGTGAGGTCGGTCACACACGACCTTTCTATGGGTAATTTTTGCGTTAGCTCCGTACTTCTTGAGATCGTACCGCCTGAGACGGATATCCGTGGGATAATGCGGTGTGCATTTTTAGAGTTGACCTTTTCTAACCCCACCCCTCCTTGTGGGAAGGTAGCATAGCTGTCATGCTGGTTGTCTGAAGGAAACACCTTACTGCTGCCACACCTCTGTACAATCAGCAGTACGACTTCGCCTTCGGACCATGAGTTTGTTGCCTTTAGTCATACCGCTCTTCAACCAACCTGTTTGACATGGTTAGGACCTTGAGGAACGGTTGTTCCAGCCAGTAAAGCTTGGTTGCTTCATCACAATAGGAAGGCCCGACCACCACGTCCAGGTAGCAACAACGGTCGGGACCTAATTATTTACACACTTCTTATTACGTAATGATTTTAATGTTTTGTGATGGCTATTCCAAGTCTATTTACCCACGTTTGACCTTCTATTTCCAACGTTTAACTATTATTTTCGATTGAGATCATGAACCGGCTGATGTAAGAACACCATTGAAAACCCGGAAGCACTGGACGGCCGTCTCGTCCTGTTGTGGGACTCCTCAGAAGTGCGCATCCACGATCCCGCTCGTGAGATTCGAACCCAGGGCCTTCAGTCTTGCGTGCGAACGCTTGACCTACTTAACCACTGAGCCGGCATCCAATGGTGTTAATGTCTAACCTCAAACAATACACGAACTATTGATAAGACTACTGTTATCGTATTTTATTGTTTTTACTACTATCAGTACACCTGTCTTCCTACTATCAACATGTATTTTTACTTATTATGTGTGGTGACCTGTTCTATTTCATTGTGATTGACCCAAATTGCTTTGATTGGTTTAACATTTTCGTATAAATATTCATGTATATTAGAGTACAGCCTGATGATGATCTAATTGAAAACAATTGTTCGCTTATATGCGCTGTTATAATGATTAATGTACACATCACTTGGAAGTTGAATATCTACGGAGCATGATATATAGGAGTAGCGATTCAACATACGTACGATAATAAAGAATTTAGACTATTTATTGAGAAGGATGTACGTCTGAAAAATCTTAGTACTTAATTACTATGCACAGACGAAATGATGGTGAACATACCATAATAATGAGTTTTAAAACAAGACCAAATTAACAATGAATATAAAATATGACAGTATAACCGGAAAATGCTATATTCGTATCTAAACGTAAATCAATAACATGTTGGAAATACTCTGTTAAAGACCTACAGTCAGTCACTGAATTAATTTATAAGTGGGTAGTATGATTCCATATATCACATGTTCAACGCATACTTTACAATAAAACCAAGAAATACTGACCTAATATTCGGTATATTTTTTCGCTGACCGGTATGTTTATCATATAGTGTCTGCAAATATTAATTGGAAAATGAGGCTTATATAATTTTATAGTGCTTTCGTGACGATTATAAGTGATAATAATAACAACAATACAATGAAACTTCTGCATGCTACTAGATAATTGAAGAACACTTACAGAAACATCCTGATAAACATAAACAGGCTTATAATCTATTCCATGTCGATCAAAAAACTGTAAATGAGAAAAAAAATTATTTGGTTGATTGAAAGCAAAGTATTGTCAAAAAAGTCATTGTAGCAGTAAATAAATAGTAATAATTGAAAATCAAAGGATAATGGAGAACATTATACATGAAAATTATACTTGAAATAATAATCTCACCGATTGAAATTTAAATATTTCCAACATTTCGTCCAGCAAACTGGTCTGAACTTCTTCAGGGTAATAATCAAAATCAAAATTATCAAATAAATGTATAGTGTTTAACAATCAAATCAAATCATTATTGTGCTACTCCAATCATATTTGGATGTTAGCTTTGGTAAATAGGATAACATGAGTTGGTTAAATGAGAATCATGTAAAAAGTTCACAATGTGAAAATGAATGAATTGTGTGTGTATTTGTAAGAGTGAGTTATTAATGATTGATATCATGTGTTAAATTTGCTTTTATATAAAGGAAAAATAAAAGTGCAAGTTGAAGAAGTCCAGACAAGTTTGCTGGACGAAACAATGAAATTATTTAAATTTTAATCGCTGAGATTATTTCAAATATAATTTCCACACATAATGACTTCTTCATAATTGGCGTGCAATTTTCTTCAAACTATTCGTTCTAATATTAACGAATATTCGTATAGATAATGAAAAACGTCCTTGTTTTTAGGTTTCGAGTAACTCAAAGTTCTTGTCTCAATTAAGATATCAACATATTATTTAATTATATAAGTGTCCATTGTAGAAGTCTTAATTCACTTGACTATCAATAATAATTTAGCTTATATCAATTAGTGGAGAAAATTATCCTTAAGAAAATGTAAAACAAAAATGTCAACGAAAATCTTGTTGAATAATTATAATTATGAGATGTGTGTTTTCATCAAGCTTCCATGACAACAGCAACTGAAAGATTTTTGTTTAGACAGTTTATTATAACATTTTAGTAAACATAAAAAATTTACTTAACAGATCAGAATTTTAGTTAAACTTAGTAATCTAGCAGAATAAATACATTAGGCCTTTGATCAATGCTGATTGTATTAAAATAATATTTGAAATGCTGAAAAACGAATAATCCTGTGTCTATTTTGAACAAAATTCCCTAATGATAAAAGTGAATTCAAGATTGTATTAGCTACTGAGTCTTGTAATTGGTGCCGGAAACATAAAAGTGATTAGTTTAAAACTAGATAAGATTTCGATTTTACTCAAACTTCAACTTTCTAGTCAGTTTTTATTCAGTGAACCGATTTTTTATTCCTGTTTTTATTTTATCTATTTCCTGTCAGAATTGATTCTAAGTTAATCCTAAGTTGTCATATATCATTCAAGTTGATGGGCTCTTGTCAGAAGTACTGTTTTTATTAGGTTAATTATTTTTAATTTCCAAGTAGTTCTGTCTATTCAGTTACTGTTGGAATGATTAATATGCACTTTATAAAACTGATAAGAGTTGACTATATTTTGCAAACGGAAAAAAAATCTACCCGAATGATTTTTGTTCTATCCAAGTCGATTAAGTGATCAGTTTCCGCCAAATCTATTGGTGTCTACTAAACGTTTTCGAGTTATCTAAGGTTTATATGGAATTAGGTTTTAGTCGTTCGAACTCCCTTTTCATTCAAGTAGCTGGTTTGGAAGCTTGTATATTAATAGAACCGCAGGATCTCACAGTTTAACATTTTTTAGTACCACACTAATGTTTGATTTTTGCTAACTTAAAACGTACAGCACAGTTTGAAAGGCAAAAATATTCATACGTTTTGGTGGTATGGGATCTTTCAGATATTCGCTAAAGATTCTTTACGGTATCACGGATACACTGAAGTAATCACTGATTCAGTCAGACCTTCATATGCAATTTTTCGTTCCTATTCTCAATTATTTTATTTACAAAGTCCTTGAGATTATCATTTATTATCGTTTTAGTTACAATTAAATCTAACTAGGTCTTTTAATGCTTCAATTCTGCTATGAGTTGTTGAAATCTGCTAATCACAATCTTTGATAGTGATTTGGTGACCTGTCTGTTCAGTATTTTTCGGAATCCGGGTTTTTGGGATAAATCAATTCGCAAATAATTATTGCGTTCTCTTTCGAATGAGCAGTCAATAAATCCTAGTTTGTGGTCATCAGATTCCATATCTAGTGAACTTGATTCTATCTGACATATTGTTAACATGATCAAAAAGTTTATCTAATCCATCTCGTTTTGTAATAAGAAATGTATTTTCAAAGTAACTTAACCAGATTTTAGGTGAAAAAGAACATTTTGAGATTACATTTGTTTCCGACGAGTCCATGATCAAGTCAGTGACAACTAGGGAAACTGAGAGTCTCACAGCTACACCTTCTGTTTCCCTGTAATCCCAAGCTTTTTATAATCTCAGAGAAAGCTAACGGGAAATACAACTTTAAATCAGTGTCAGATTCTAATAAATAATACCCAAATCTTTATTAATAAGGAGATTAGTAAATAAGTATGAATCTTGACTGGTAAGAATAAATCAATGAATAAAAATTTATGTTAAAAACATACCACTAATACAGAGTTTTGACCTTGAACTGGTTATTCTCTGTTTAACTATAGGTCATGAAATTGTACCTTTTTTTACAAATATGACTAGTTTCCTCATTGAGTAATTTCGTTGCGTTCCTATTACTGTTTGGTATGTGTGCTTATTGTTTCCTGTTTTTAACTGACTGTACTATTTTAGGTCTTTGTACTAATGGTATTATCACCACCTTTAATTTGGTTTCTAGTAAAAAGTTTGGTAACAACGACCTGATAATATCAAGAAACACTTTGTAGTTCCCAAACATTGAAGCTTTTCCTTGACTGTTTCATCGTAAATAACTAGCTCAGACTAAACTGAAACAGAAAACTAGTAGTTTTTTCACCGATATCAGCTTATTTTGAAAGGTATTTTAAAACCAATAAACTTCTCTAAACGACTTCTTTATATAACATAAACAAACTTATCGGCCAACTGATCCAGATACAAAATAGTAATTGGAACAAAAAATATAAATGGAGAGTGACAGTATTTTTAAGTAAAACATTGATAATTTTGAAAATTTGTAAGCGCTAAAAAATAGATTCTAATAATACGACTTACATCTATAATAGAACATAGAAGATTAATTTCCGGTAATCGGAAAAGATCCATCAACTGAATCATAATGGTGTCCTAAAATGTACAACAAAAACCTAAGTGGTAGTTACACATTTATTTAGTGACCAAGAGTTCTTGAAAAGTAAATCATAGGACATGTAGTTTGTAGTTTTTGTGAGTGGATCCGGGAAGGCCATGAGTGTTATGATCACCATCATGAAATCCATATCCAACAGATGTGAGATAATCCTTTTGACGCGACCCATAGAACTTATTATTTATAGTCAAGAAGACTAAAATCTATGTACTGAACACCAAAATTGTTTATCACAAATTGAGTACAACGTACTGCAACGATAAACAACTTACCTTTGTGGGGATTTTTTTATTTCTGAAGGTAGTGACGAGTACATAGAGTAATTAACACCCACGGAGACACTAGAGAATAAAACAATAAACTAAATAGTTTTGGGCCATACGACTGATTGTTTCGGACTAAAAGATAAGCGTCAACTTAAGTTCTGAATTTTATTGTCCCCCACTATCAAAATTAAATCAAGTAGAGACTTTTATTCCAAGTCATTCAGTCATAACCAAAGTACAAATGACTAGATGGATGAGAACAACAGTCGGTTTGAAAACCATTATTTATGGATCGAGGATCGTCTACTTTTGATAAGGAACCTGATGAAATGGATGAAGATGGGCTATACGAATAACGGGGTGATAAAGACAAACGATGATAATTGCGCTGCCGTATAGACCTTATTTTGCTATCTCGAAGAAGGGTTTTTCTTCGACTCCGTTGAATATGAATGGAAACGTTTGAAAGATTTTCGAGACAACAGACCCTTCCATGGTTTTCAGAGCCAACTTTTCTTCCACTGACATATCATTGCTGTTGGTTCGACGTTCATCCAGCACGTCTTGATAAGGCATCTCAACGGTCTTCTCAAGCTCCGAGGGGTGAAGTCAATTTAACTTTATTTGATTTCTCGCCTGAGCACCAAATGGCTCCGATAACGTCCAAACGAAAATAGTTCTTATCACATGAGGTTCACCTAGTTTGCCTGACTTTTGTTGTGAAATTCTATAAACCCCTAGTACATCACATCCTATCAGCAATCCAACACGTTCAGTCTTACATTTCTTCAGCTCTACATCTTTCAAATGACATAAGGACTGTAGTTGTTTGACATTAGGTTCTACACGTCTTGCATTAGACAAAACTGGCACTGCGTAAGCCCGTTCAACGTGCATACAATAGTCTGATTCGCATGATCGCAAATCTAATCAGGTTACGGCCCGTCACCCACTATAGTGATTGATGGTAGCCAATCGAATGTGGATACCTTTGACCTCTAGCTCAAATTCGTTCACTAATTCTCGCAAGACGAGAGTTGAGTTTGAACCGCTGTTGAAGAAAGCTAGAGTTTCTTTTGTTCGATTATCGTAACAAAGAATCACCGGAACTATTGCCAAAGCTGCTCTTGGCTCTTCTGATGCTACTGTCACTTTAGTCATAAGTCGATATCCTGAAACGTGATTAATACTAATATGTGCATCAGGTTGAGAAACATCACTAGTTACATATAACAATGTACGATGTCGCCTGTCACATACTTAGATAGTACTTCCTCTTTGGATTTGATAACTTCTAGCCATATGCTTGACATTTAGACATAAGCGTTATGACTTTTGTCTCTGATTGTGTTCAATTTTCCAGTGTGCAACACTGGTAAGAGGAATGGATTTCATTACAGGTGGTATAGACTAGACTCTTATTCCGTTGCTTATTGTTAAGGGGAGAATACCACAAAGAAAAAAATACTATTCTTAGTGTTGAATAATGTTTGAATTAAAGTTCATTCAACTCGTTTATCCGATTTGCTACATCTGCTCGTTCTACCACGAACTTAGCTAAATTTACAGATTTAAGCTCTCCACCTTGTCACATATACTCTACGTCCATCTCTACCCACTTAGATCTAAGATTCGAAGGTAGACGTGAAACTGAAGTTCTGAACGCCATAACTCTATTCTGTCCTAGATCGGACAGATCCATAAAATCATGACTTTTAATTGGTGGTTAGCTTACTATTTTGTCTATGAAGGACCTACTAACCATATAATTTTGTCCGAACCGTTTTCTTACAATATCTCTAGCTCACGTAAATCATTTAGATCCGTCCATTATGAAACAATGTTCGATAGCCTTTTTAGCCCCCGAATGCCCTGGTACGGCCGAGAGTGGGGAGAGTCCGCTCTCCCTCTCGAAATACTCTCACACGGCCACGCGTATACAGCCTCTGCCAGGGAAGTCCTACTCATTGCCTTCTCGTGGCGCAGGTGTTGTTTACGAAAATGAGAGAACGAAAAGCGAATATCCGGCGCTTTAACCGGATCACAAACCAATGGAGCGCATGGGCACCAGTATCCTGCGGGAACAAATGGCGTATGAACCAATTGTCGGTCACCGGCTACCATGGGACTGCATCTCCTTACGATGCTCCACTGCCTTGTGGGTTAGACCTTTAGGTCAAAGGTTCGGGGTGTGGCACCCGGGCAGTATCACAGCCCACACACAAATATGATGAACTGCCTATAATTATGGTAACTACTTTACTTGCTTCAACTAACAATCAAATCATTATTATTATTATTATTATTATTATTATTATTATTATTATTATTATTATTATTATTATTTACCACATTATTCACCCTCTTTTATACTTATACAGCGGCTCGTCTTTGGTGGAAATTCGACTGTATCTAAACGTTCTCGAGTCACTGTCCGGTTGAAAATTGTATGTTACCACCAAATATGAGTACTGAAGCAGTTTTTCTGAAACCACGTGCACCATTCAAACTGGCTGCCTTCAACGTTCGCACACTTATGCGGGTTGGACAACAGATAGGGCTGGTTATGTCTTTGGAAAGTCTTAATATCGATGTCTGCTGTCTATCCGAGACCCGTATTCAAAACTCTGGTGAAGTACTACAAATTCGCTCTCCATCTGTCGCTTCAAAAAGCTCGTTTTACGTGCGCTTATCCGGGAACCCTGTGGCATCTTCGTCTGGTCTTACTGGCTTTGGTGTCGCACTAAGCGCTAGAGCTGAGGCAGCACTAATCAATTGGATCCCCATTAACAGTCAGTTATGTGCTGTTAGATTAGAGAGTTCCATCAAAGTGAGAAGAAATCGGCGTGAGAAACGATATCTTTTCGTCATCTCCGCCTATGCCCCGACAGATTGCAGCCCGGATGCAATCAAGGATGAGTTTTACCACCAGTTATCTGTTCTACTCCAGAAAGTGCGTTCGACAGATATTGTAGTACTAGCCGGAGACTTGAATGCTCAGGTCGGGCGTCTAGGCACAGAAGAGAGTCGTTTAGGTGGCCGATGGGGACTCGTTGGTTGCAGGTCAGATAACGGGGACCGTCTACTGCAACTCTGCACAGACCATAACCTGTTTCTGGCTAGCACTAACTTTCGGCACAGTCATCGCCGATGTACCACCTGGCGTCCTCCCTCTGCATCCCAAGCCTGGACTCAGATTGATCACATCGCGATCAGCTACCGCTGACGTGGTTGTGTACAAGACTGCCGCTCCTTTTGGAGTACCTATCTGGACTCTGACCATGCCTTGGTCTGCGCCAATCTTGCCTTACTTTTCAGTGGACAACGAAGTGACCGCCATCAACGGATTGATATTAGCAAGCTGGTTGCAACTTCTGTGTCAAGTAAGTATCGAACCGAGCTAGCTTCTAAGCTAGCTATCACTCCACCGAAAAGTATAGATGAGCATTGGTTGCGATTGCATGTCGCCATGAAAATGGCGGGTACAGTCAGTTGTGGGTTTGCGAAACGTCCTGCTTATAAGCACTGGGTTTCTTCTGGTTCCTTACAACTCATTGAAGCCCGTCGGTCTACTCCGGGTGACCGTGAGTTTGACCATAGACGAAGGATGTTACGTAAGGAAATTGGGCAAAGCTTGCGTAAGGACCGAGAAGCCTGGTGGTCGAAGCGTGCTAATGAGCTGGAAGCAGCAGCTGCATCTGGTAATTACCGGAAGCTCTTCCAACTCATCCGAGCCACTGGCAGCAAGAAGTCTGGTGTGAGTGAAACAATCTGTGAGGATGATGGGATGCCAATCACTAACATCCATCGACGTCTTAGACGATGGGCAGAATTTTTCGAAGGGCAGTTCAACTGGCCTGCTGCTCCGGCAACATCGGTCAGACTGTCCTGCCCTCCATGGCTGGTGATGACTGATCCACCAAATGAGACGGAAGTCCGCAAGGAACTCCAACTCTTGAAGCGTTACAAATCACCTGGCCCAGATGACTTACCTCCGGCTCTTTTTAAAGATGGTGGTGACTTTCTGACTAAGGAACTGACGACGTTGTTTACAAAGGTTTGGGAACTAGAGTGTACCAACGTCATGGAATGAGTCGATAGTTGTCCCTGGTTGGGGTCTGAGAGATGGTGCTACACAGTGGCTAGAGACGTTATCAGATATGGCCCAGAATATAAGCTAGTGGCTATCCTGCTGTAACCTTTTACTTTCTTCATAAAAAGTGGTTGTGTCTTCCTTACCTGAAAGATTTCTTCTGATTGTACCTTTCCGTTCCCTCATTACTACCACACTACCTTACACCAATCTCTTCGTTATTGTTCTCTTTCTTTTTCTTGCGCTCCTTACCTTTTTTCTTTTTGATTTCTCATTGTTTTGTGTGGCGCATACATATTGGCGCTCTCTTGTTCCAATATTTATGTGTTCAAATAAAAATAAAATAAAATTAGCTCGTCCGGTACAAAACTGAGTTAGATTGTTAAGCTGCTTAGAATCATCTTTCGTCGTTTGTTCAAAAACTTAGGAATTCCTTCAAAAAGGCGCAGTACTTCTGTAGATTGCCATCAAACTTCTGTACTTCTGGTCTAGGTAGCTCTAAATAACGTTCGAAATGACATGGAACTGCACTCGACATAGGTTGCTCATATTTTTCTATTAAACTATCGTCATAGGGATCAGGATTATTTCTTTTATGTTGTAGTTTCTTCAGCGCGATCCACGTTTCAAGTTTTATCCTTAGCATGACTAATTCTAGTTCCAATTGCTTTAGATAAATGTTTGTATGATGTTCTGTATTGAAATCTTTCTGATACTGTATAGATAAGTCTGGTATTCTGAATTCCCTTCAGCTTTACTCGGAAATATATATATAACATATATACGTGACCAAGATAGTCTTCAAGTGGATCTGAAATACAGAACAAATGTCTATTAACCGAGATCGTAATACCATATCAGCATGATGAGATCAAATTGTCAGGATGAACACCAAAGTAGTGGTAGCAGTACCAATGTCAGTAAAAAAAAGAAACAATTCGGGAAATAAAAGGCATAAAATAATTTCTAAACTTAAGAACTAAGAAAAGATAAAACGTAAATGATTCTGTGCCACTATAACTAATTTTGAGTCATGTCACCCAACGACTACAATCACTGGTTACGATAAAGCTGTGGACCTCAAACAGATAGTTTGCGTCTACCAACATGGTTCAGATCAATAGTTAACCTCTCTATGGATTGATGTTCCGTTTTAGTCTGGTCGCCTCTATCTTTCTTTGAAGCCATTATTGCTCAAGCAATGCTTTGTAAACACAACAATCAAATAAATGTGGAGAGATAGCTTACTGGTCAAGGTGTACGACTTTCAGTTATCAAGTCTCAGTTTTGAATCTCGCCCAACCTACTTCGGCCTGAGCAACCGGGTAAATCCATTAGCTCTTACACACAGTCTGAGGCTTATACCCAAGTACCTACTGAGTTAATTTAAATTCGAATTTTAAGTAAAAAGTCAAATACTACTAACCTAAAGATGATTTCTACTTTTAAATACTGCGTTCCACAGCTCCAAAGTGAAACACAGAAAACTGTTAGTTGAAAAAAGGATAACTGGATAATTGTAACCTTGAGGGGAGCAGTGCTTCCCGGAGGATTTAATCCTGTGTCATTCATCCCTCCTGTGTGAGACGTTACCATTGAGTTATTTAGGCATTGACTGACCTCCTACAGGAATTGAATATTTACATTCAACTGATCCCTGAGTGGTGACCAATATTATATTTGTCAAGTACTTCAGTCCCAAATGAATTTACTCCCTAATATCAGTTTAGGCATTGATGCATACCAGTCTGAAAGCGAGATTTAGCCTTTAGAGGGGGGAGAAACAAACCTAAGATATACTTGCATTGTTGATCAAAGTGATCAGAAAACTTTGGATTTCATTAGACATTAACAAACAGAACTGTCATTTATATAGTCGAAGTCAATAGGTAGATTTCCTGATAGAATATTAATCTCTAGAAAGTTGTTTGAAGAAAGTTTTGTCTCTAAGACAGTATCTACTAGGAAGTTTAAAAAAAGTTTTTAACGACATATGATAAAGCTAGTAAATTTTAATGATATACTTCATAGATGAACAAAAAAGCTTACATTAGGTGTAAATTTTTGTTTTAAAATATCACTAGATAAATGACTCCCACGATAAACTTTTAATATCTCATCCAATGACAGTAGTTTAAATCCACGATAAACAGTATCCAGTTGAATATGATGAAATGCATCTACTTTCATTAATAAGCCCTAGACATTAAAATAATAACCGTAAGAAAACAAAAGATCAATAAGTTGTCTGTAAAGAAACCCTACATATGGTTGCATATGATGAGCTTAAAAAAGCATCTGCAAAAAGACCTACAAATTTTTCGATACATAAAACCTTACCATACAGTTATTCTTTTTTGAAAGAGTGACCATCATAGAACCAATGTAATCAAAGCTGGATTATAGGTGTGAACTCCACCTAATCATTTGCATCACACTATATACTCAATGATACATTGACTATTCAATAGTACAGTTTCGATCGGAACATACTATTGCAGTAAAGTCAGCAGTACATAGATGGCAAAAAATAGTGCCTGATTTATTCCGTATTATGCCGTTTTAATAATTATGTATTGAACAAGTCCAGGAAATAACCTCAATACTATTCACTAAAAGCTGAACTGTTAGAGACTGCATTTATACGAAACTATTATTATCATTATTATTGATTGATCTGATCTTGTAATAGTTTCCTAAACCATAACACTATGCAAGAACTTTAGATAAGTTATTGATGAACCATAATTAAATCATGCAACCACATTCTCCCACAGACTTATCGATTTCAGTTGGTTTGCGTACAGAACAACCAGAAGTGAAACATCACTGGTTATTTTATGACCTTAATTCTTATACCTGATGACTCCGGTTATGATTTCATTGTCATGTGGTTTTTACTGAATATACTATAAATAAACGACAGCTTCAAATCACCAACTCAATATTCAATCAACATCCCAGAGACATCGCATTCTGAAGTCATTTGCTCAGGATTTGAGGATCGATCGTATGAGTTCTGGTAGTCACCATGGTAGTTGAAAGATTTAATAGTTCAACCATAAAATTTCACTGTTACATTTCTGCCAATTAGGGTCATAGTACTGTCTTTTAATTGCTCCTCATCCTTTATATAGACAAAAAATTGTCTAGTGACAATCTGTGCATAAGATTGACATGCGATTAAAATAATAATAATAATAATAATAATAATAATAATAATAATAATAATTTATTTGATCTACTTGTATTGACCAGTAAACATTTATCATTAATTGCTAACTAAGACAAATCATTTGTGTCGTTGTCATTTTATAATAAACCTTTCCTAAATTAAATAATTTGGGGAAATTAATTTTATTAGTAATGAGGTGACATACTCGTTTTACATCAAAATGTAAACCACGTCTAGCAAACTCAGTATAATCATAGTTCAGAATTTCTTCAGGATACTTGTGTTTGTTGAAGATTGTGATTCGAAGGAAATTTGAATGAGTGCAAAATAGTTTAAAAAAAGAAGACCGATTACAAAATGAGAAATTATTTATATCTGAATTGGTAAAATTAAATAACAAATTCCGAAATTTTCAAAAATAATGCTGACTGACATAAAAACAACATTATGCTTTAGTTTATTTACTGGTAATCAAAAATCAAAGATATTAAACGGTTCAACCGTATAACAACAAAGTAAACAGGTGGAACTATTTACGTGTTGAGTCTCCTTATTTGCTCCAGTAATCTTGGACACCAATCCACTCGACTAATTCTCAAATCGAAACACGACTTGGACAGAACATAAATTTATTCCAAACGAAACGGCAATTCCCGTTCAGCAACAAAATGTCAGTGTATATACAAACATTACACTATAATATTCTTGTCATCTCGGTTCATCAATTGGCGCTGATCGGTTAAAAGTGGGTCAATCAGCGCGCTTCAACGTGATCCTGTTTAACACATGCCTTGAGTAAGCCTTTGTCCGGCTAACACGGTGGTATATAATAAAGTATAATTATTACGTGACAGTTGGAAGCACTATACGAGTAGCTTAACTAAACTAGGTTAGGCAAGATTAGAGCATATCACACAAATGACTATGTATTTGGAACTTGAAACATTGAACAATAATTAATTACATATGGCACCGAAGCAGGTGGTTTTCTTAGGAGGCTACTCCCCGAGCCTTTGACCTGAAGGTCTGATCCACAAGGCAGTGGAGCATCGTAAGGAGATGCAGTCCCACGGAAGCCGGTGACCAACAATTGGTTCATACGCCATTTGTTCCTTCAGGATACTGGAGCCTATGTGCACCAATGGTTTGGAATCAGGTTAAAGCGCCGGATATTCGCTTTTCGTCCTCTCATTTTCGTAAACAACACCCCCGCCACGAGAAGGCAATGAGTAGGACTTCCCTCTGCCAGGGAAGTCCTACTCACTTACGGGACGAAACGCATGTTCAGGATTCCACTGCTAGCAACTATCCGATTGAACAGTTTTAAATAAGCTCCTGAAGGACTACTACCATTATTTTGTGTAACCTAACTAGTTAAGTATTGGTACAAAACACTTTGAAGAGATGAATTATATGTTAATTAACTTAGAAGTGTGTTTGTCAGATTTAGAGTCATCAACAAAGAGGTAAATAATATGAACTTTTGACTTAAGTTGTTTTGTCAAACTGATAACTACTCTCACTTTCTATAACTTTCAGTTGAAAGAGTCTTCGGAACGACATAATAGTACATAGATTTTAAAAAGTTGAGCATAAAGCATATTATTCCCAATTTCTTCCATTGATAAAACGGCTTGAAACTGAATCGAAATGAAATACAGCCCCCACTGACCTATAGAATGATGAAAACAGTTAATTTCAGACACTGTTTTCACTACATGAGATGGATACTACTCCTCTGTAATTAGTTAAAATTACTAGCCAGATTGTTTATTCATTTATGTGCTGTGAGTGACCAGGATATATAGCAACTACACCGAGTTAAAGAAGTATCTTCTCACCTTTGCTGATATGCAAAAAAATAGTTCATGGGTTTTAGTATCACAGTACTTACAGGAACTTCAAGTAAAATTGGTTTGTGAACAACACACAGTAAGACGTAAAAGATTGATATCAATGAACGTTAAGTAACATAATACAAGGTAGCATCTGAAAATAAACAATAATTAAAAATTAGATTTCCTATTCCTTATGTATGCCCCTTTTGCTTAAGAATCCAAAAACTTATTTGAAGCTTCCAACTTGAAAAAAAGTAAAAATAGGAAATATATAAACATGTTTCATGAATTATTTTCAACAGTGTATTTCATAGTTTACATAATGACATAGTTAACTGACCTTCATCTGTTCAACAAGCCAGTTCCGAGATTCATTGAAAATAAATTCGTCCAACGCGGATGTATAATGAGCCAATGTGTAATCATAATCAAATCCGTACACTTGAATTTTGCTCAACTTTACTTCATTATTTACAAATACATCCCGCGGATTAACTTGATCGAATGTGGTTATGTGTTCTAGGATTGTTAAATGAAACGAGTGAAGTCTCGGAAGAGGTGAAAAGTGATATGATGGAAAGTACGGATTCGATTCACAAGTTATAACAAAAAGAAGTATAGCATCAATAAACATTCAATAAAACATTGATTTGATCTATTCACTCTTGGTCAAGGGGATAAGACGGATATGCAGAACAAAATTTGGGACAGTTTCAATGACCTTCCAACTATTTCCAAACAACCCGAATGGAGGAATTGACACAATTCCTACAAATCTCAGTGAGGATGAAAGGACTATAGTCAGTCTGAAGAAAAGGAGAGCATCAGACCCTGATGGATTAACAACAGATCTCTAAGTCTGGAGGTCTAGTTTTATAAACTAAGCTAACAGAAGACACTAGATAGGATTTTGGAGCTAGACGAAATACCACTTAACTGGTTTCGATTGCTGATCGTTTCAGTTTATAGAAAGGGAAAAAATCCACTTGTGATGAAAACAAAAGAATCAACTCTAGTAACATAGTGCCTAAAATATTATTCAAATCGACCGTCTGACGCTCTACTAGGGCTTGTGAAGAACAAACCAAAGGAAAGCCAAGCTGGTTTCAGACCTGGGGATGGACGGACTGACCAGATGCTCAATTTATCAGGTTTTGGAACATATAAACACCTATTGGCGCTCGACGACTGTATTTCTTGACCTTAAGACAGCAATCAAATCCGTTGACCGAGAGGTTTTGTAGCACTTTTTGTTATTTGATGGCTTATCAAAAAAGTACATAAAACTTGTGAGGTCTCTCCTTTCAGATACTATTAGTCGAGTCAAAACTTATAACGAACTGTCCTCAGAATTGTTAGCCTTAAGTGGTGTTCGTCAGTGTTTCCCACTGAATCAACTTTTCTTCAATTACACCATGGATATCCTCTTGGAACCAACACTTTCCCACCCAACTTTTTGGAATTGATCTCCTACCCAGTTTATTCATCAACTGAGAATATGCAGGTGAGATAATCTTATCTAGTGAGGAGGATGACAATTTGCAGTCTTCTGATCACCCTGAAGAACAATGCTAGCATGACCAACTTGACAAACTTTAGGACATCTACATACTACACAGCAGTGTTAACCGTTGGTGACTACACAAATAGACGCTACATTCTGATCTGATAACCCTAAGAATTTTCATAATTCACTTGTTCAGTCAACATAATTTCAAAGTTAGCCATAACTTGACCAACAAGACACGATAGATTTTACATATTTCTTGAATAGTAATTTCACTAAAGCAGTGGTATGGAGCAAAATTACCATCAAATAGTGTTACCTTAAGATTGAAGCTCATGTCCACTAATACAACTCATGATATTACTGTTAAATGGAAAACATTTGAAGCAAATCTTTAGTGCTCAGAATAATACATGATGGCGAAAATTAAATTCAGTGCTTGTGAGGTTATGCAAATCATGAGCTATACAGACGAAGCATTTTGTATATCAAAAATTCTTAGGGAAGTTGGACGTATTGCTTTTGTGAGCAGAGTTTGGACTTAGATTTGTGGATCACCAACGCCTCAGCAGTGCATAAGTTTTCTATCCATCCTCCCTTCAATCTAGTCCCTTTGATTGTGTAGATTACTTTGAAGGAACACTCCTTTGGAGCGATGTATCCAGAAATGACTGGGTGCTCCTGTGTTGAACTGGTGACTGAGTTGCATTCTCCTTGTAAAAGCTACGCCGGATACGTTTGGAAAGTGGTCGTTTTGTGGGGACAATCTAACCTGCTCCACAAGAGCAGGTAAATTTGTAGATGAGCATCGATGTGGCCCAAAGCGGAAGTCTATCCTTAGCACATCCGTGAATGGTAGGCCGGCTTGAGAAGACAAATCGGAGCTTAGCTTAAGTAAATGATTTTGTCGGGAAGAAATTTTTAGCTGAATTTTCTTTGTCCTTACAAACCTTTTGGTAATAAAATGTCAGTCATTATCAACATTCCATTGAAATAATCAAGCTTTTAGAGACCACGAAGTTATAGTATTGAGGTTTCGTTGTTTCAAAAGACTACTATCTCAAATTTTGTTCAGACGAAGTTAGAAGATGAAACGTTACATGACTGATAAATTATCGCACCACGTTAGAGGAATAAATACTGTATGACACAAACCAGAACAGTGTAAAACAAGTGATATAATAGGGAAATCTGCCAAGTAAATATGCCTTTCACATGTTCGCCTATTCAGGAAATAGTTCAAGTAACTAAATTATTAATCAATGACAAACTGTCTAATTAGTACACATAGGGACGCGTATTATGGTGTTAGTTAAAAGTAAACTAACATATTACCTTCGCATTTCTTATTTAACAGAGCATAGTGCTGTTGCATTCTAGTCATTTCAACACCATTTGTATAGCTATGTGAATTCCGGGAAATAAGGCTTTTGTTACATTCGGGAAGAACGATGAACCAATAGTAACCATTATTTCGACCGAATTTCCTGCAAACTGACATTAAAGATGTTTCACCACAGAAGAATTCTAGATATGACAAGCTTACCACTTAAGCACTGGTTGACCCACATGCACAAGACGCTCCTAAAATTTAAGAGCTTTATTAGGAACATTACATAATACAAGAGCTATTACGCAAAATATTATACTAACAACAGCTTTTCTACATGTTGAACTACAACCGCTTTGCTTAAAATACCAATAGGCTTGATTTTGGTGACATGAGGAGAGTTTAAGTTCGATAGACACTTCCATGAAACAAATGAAGTTCAACTGATATAGGAATCAAAACTAAAGTTGAATATTCTATTATAACCCTTAGAATTCTAGATGTATTCACCGCATAGCCAATTTTTTCACTGACTACAAACTCATATTACCAAACCAACTAGCTTCCAAACAAAATATATTCAGCAAGACATGGTCAAACTCAATCTTGAGAGACATATGTTGTTAGGAAATACAGTACCGCGTATCATGAGTTATATCATTTTTCGGCGCTTCATGTATGGAATTTTTTTGAATCAAATTCTTTCCCAAATTACTGTCACGGTTTTTAAATATTTGTAAGGTATTGAATTAACACAACTTAGCTCTTATTTCCGATAAGCTGAAGAGCAGGAAGTAGATAAGAAAAGCCAAAATACTACTAAATGTTTCTTCTTGTTATTCTCAGATTATGGCTGGTCAAGTGTCAAAGAATACTGGGCTGTTTATCAAAATGTCTCAGTAAGTCTTGTATGGATGAAGTAGTTTATGAATCCGCCTAGTCACAAGCACACAGAGAAATATTGGATGGCGCTGATCATGGAGGCTGGGAACAGTATTCATTATACGAAAACATGAATTTCCTGAACAATCTGCTAGTGAAAACAGCCGTCCCAACCGTTTCAGTAACTGAAATCTGAATGATGTGTAACAAGGGAGCAAGAAATTCTGTCTGCAACCAATTCAACTTCGTAAAACGATCAGGCGTTTTTGTGGTTAAGCTTTACAACCCGTAGGTTGGTGTGCATATAAGCAGAAAATTAACGCATGGACCAGATTGACTTGAATATAGTTTTTGATATCACAACTAAATTCGATTGATCAGGTGACCTAAAATATTTTGGTGAAACACTACAATACCTTTAAAGTTTTCATCGATTAGAGCTTCTTCAATTAACAGAAACTTGAATGAGACCATAATTAATGGACGATATTTGAGAGCAATCAAAGTGCACTTGGGGAAATTAAACCACTCAAGAGTGGTAATATGGACTTCATCACCAAGTTATTAATAAGTGCAAGAGATAAGGACTAGGAGTCCCAATCATAGCAAAACGTGGCGAGACTGTAATTTACAAGAAAGTAATAAATTACAGTGGATATTCTTCTTTGACATGATTTAAAAACTCGTATGTTAGCATCCTAACCTTAACCCTAACCCTCACCTAACTCTAACCCTAAACCCTCACCTAACTCTAAACCTTAACCCTCAACTAACCCTAAACCCTAACCTTACCCGTAAACCTAACCCTAACACAATAGACGAGTTTCTATTCGAATAGAAATTCGTCTATATGCATTGTGAATTCAGAACCTCTGAACCTTAATCAAACCTTAACAAGTTTTTAAATCATGTAACAGGAGAATATCCACTGTAATTCATTACTTTCATATAATATATTTTCACTTTATACTAACTTTCTTCTGATTAGCTAATAATTGTCAAGGTCACTTAAGATTCGTTCAAAGGTCGTCCTTAAATTAGAGTCTCGCCTGGTTGGATCCTTCAGAGTCCAGCACTAAGACATCTTCAGTTATCAATTCACATAGTTGACCTCCTTCATTAAGTATAATCTGATTTATTGCTCTACTGACATTGTGGAACCTGATAGAGAAGTTTGTAACCACGATGATAAGCTGGTAGTTCAGAAGGATCTTACTTTACCCCACAGTCGGGGGGATAACAACAGACTTATTTTCAACACTCCAAAGTGTAAAGTAATCCATGCGAAATATTCCGCAGCGTATGCATGCAAACTAGGTGACTCACCTCCGTAGGCGTCTCGAGTTGGAAAAGATCTAGGAGTCCTGGTAGGCTATAATCTAAAGTTTTACTCTGAGACAAAAATGCCCTGCAATCAAACTTTGCACTGATCACGTCAAGGCGCATTTTTGGTCAGTTTGACAGTACAAGTTTCCAATTTTTAATAGTTTTATTCGGCTTTACTTAAATTATGAAAACATAGTGTCTCCTTTCTAACTTCAAAAGGATAAGAATACACTGGAACGTGTCCAGAGGTGAGTCACGAAATCACTTCGGGGACTAACATTTAAACATGGTGAAGGACACCTCAAATCACTGGACGTCAACCTGTCAGAGTATAGGCATCTCAGACGTGACCTAATGAATAAGCATCCTTAACATCCCTGAGACCACGCTAAATAGCTCAATCCGAATACAAATTTTAGAGACAACGCCCGAAAATTAAAGTCATAACTTGACAGAATGGATTGTAGGTTCATGTTTTTCCGTTATGATTTGTAGAATTCTGGAATTCGCTAACAACTGAGATGGTTTAAACGAATTATCAGATGTCTTTCAAGTGGAAGAATGACGTATTCCCGAGGATTCGTCATATACTACAAATATTTTTCTCTCATTAGTTAAGTCTACCGATTTCCCCACTTGTCTGTAACGATTATCCTACGCTTATCTTGTTTTAGGCTTCCTAATTAAATATGTTCTATTATTTTCTTCTAGCAAAGTGTATTTAATTTCCTCAATTATTTGTACGGTTTAAGAATGTATCTGGTGATAATAAGGTAAAATTTAAGTGTATGGTAATTGCTTCACTTTTTATCAAGGCAATGAGAAAACACTTGATACTCCTACTTCAACCTGCATTAGAAGAGCATACTGACACTTATAAGTTAACCTACAAATGCAGGAAAAGCGCCTTAGATTGTGCTGTTGTTCTTCATTATAATATATTGTCCAGCTTGGAGAATGGTGAGAATTTTGTTGGAATCGTAGTTCGGATTGTATTTTTGCCTTTGACCTAACCCCAAGACAACTTCCACCTAACAATTTATTTAGCATCTATCCTGACAACTAGATAACCAACCGCCTATGTCCACATCTCTCAGGAAGAGGAGAGTGCATTGTCTTGAGAGGGAAGTGCTCGACGTTTCCACTGACTTGTGAAAATGTGCCATTAAGTGTTGTTCGCTCTCCTCTTATCTCTTTTTTTCTGCATGATCTTCCAACCCCCACAGAAAACACTTCTATTAAATATGTAATGATCTCACTGCATGTATGCCGATCTTTACCTCTTCACATTCCTTTTAATGAAAGTTTTCATTCCTAATTAAACAATGGTCTGTTGTTTATTGTCTCACATTTAGTTCATTTAAATGTCAAACTGTTAACTTTAGCGCTAGACATGAACAGCACCCCATTGCAATCCCATAAAACGTGTACCACTGAAGGCTCCTTAATAATCAGTGTCGAAGGTAATTTGTATAGGGTAAGCCTTTCCTCTGATCTCTATAAGTCTTTTCATGTTTTGTTGTTACTGAAGTATTCTGTTTGATTTACTGCCCAAGGAGTCTGTATGCTTTTGGTATCACTATACATTTTCTCTTACGATTGATTGATTCTCGTATATTACCTATTATCCTTTACTGTTCACCACTATTCTTTCTCAGGATTTTGAGAAAAACTTTACTATATTCTGAAGAGTCCTGAAGTCAGTTAACGGGGTGTGTAGTGAATCTATTGAAGTCATTAATAATATGGTAGCGGGTAGATATCTAAAGTCTTGTAAATACCAACCATCCATTTTATCCGTATATTTTTCTTTGTATATATTCTGGAAGAACGAGACGTCAGTACATTAGAGTTCATGCACGCAAGCAAAAGCATGAAAGCTCTACAATACCCTACTTAGCAAATGTACTGTGTGACAAACAGGCTGTTAAAGCATGGTTTTCAGGAAGGGTCATTCTTTTGTAACCAACCTGCTGACTGCGGTGGACAGATGGACAACCATCCTTGGTCGCGGGGTGAAGGTTGACGTCATTTACCTTCATTTCTAGAAAGCTTTTGATAGGGTCATCCATACATGTCTTATCAATAAGCTCAAACGATTGGGTATCAAATCACCTCTACATAACCGGCTCGCTTCAGTCCTAAAAACTCGGCATTTGAAGGTTGTGGTTAACTTCACTTTCTCTCAGGCTATGGAATGCCTAGTGGGGTCCTCCAGGGTTCAGTACAAAGACATCTTTTCTTGATTTGCATAAACGATCTTCCACAACAGGTATCGTCTGACGTATTAGTTTTTGTAGATGATATGAAACTTTGGAGAGAGATACGAAACCGAGAGGATATACTGTGACTTTAAAATGATCTTACTGAACTTCACGGTTGTTCAGATGACGACGGACTTACCTTTGACATTTCAAAGTGTAAAGTAGTCTATCTGAGATATAATGCTACAACTTGGGAAACTCCCCCCTAAAGGAATCTCGAATTCAAATAGACCTAGGAGTGTTGGTACCATAGGATTTGAACTCTTACGCTAACTTTGACAAAAATGCCTTTCGAGCAAATTTTGCACTGGTAACATTGAAGCGCATTTTCGGCAGTTTGACAAATGAACTTTCGACACATACTTCAACAGTTTCATTTATCCGCATATGGAGTACGGAAGCACAGTAGTTCCTCTCTCACTCCAAAAAGATAAAGACACTCTATAACATATCCAACGGCGAGTCACGAAATCTGTTCGGAGACTCAAAGTCAAGCCTTATGAAGAGCACCTCCAATCACTAAAGTTGTACCCGTTAGAATACAGACGTCTTGGAAGTGACCTTCGTAAGACTCACAACATCCTACAGGTTCTGGACATCACCTCAAACACCAGTTAAGTTGAGATCAAACACAAACCTAAGGGAAAACACTCATAAAATAGAGAAACGACATAGCGGAACGAAACGTAGGCACAACTTCTACTACGTAAGAGTAGTCAAATTCTGGAATTCGCTGCCGGCTGAGCTATTCCAAGCGACTTCCAAGGAGTACTTTAAAAGAAAACTTGACATATTTTTTAAGCACTAGGTATAGTATCTTATTACGATTTACGAATTTTTCCTCTCCGATCGCTAATATACCTAGGTTTCTGCCTAGAAGTATTGGTGATTCACCGCTATCAGACACAGAAGCTCGTTAGGCGGAAGCTCCTTCTATTCCGTCCCAAATCACATGAAACATTCGAACCATTTGGACCTAGTCAACAACTTGTATTCTTGAATCAAGAAATGCACATATCCAAATATACATAAAAAACTATTCATTTAACTCCAGGTAGTTTATTTGCTTAATTTATTCGTCTATGTCTGCACCTATCGTTTTTTCACCTGTTTTGTAAAGTAAACCTGCTGAAACACTTTTTACTGAAAACTTTATATTGTGCCAAAAACAAAATATTTGGTAAAGTCATTAATATTAGCAAATATGAGAGTCTGTTGGGCTAAAATGTTTATTTCGTTCACAAATATTTGAACTGCGTGAACCGCAATATCCAATCAATGCGTTACTCTTAGGTGAATCATGATGCCTTCAACTCATAGTATATTAGTTCCGTATGTACAGAAAAAGGAAGCTATAAATGTTTGGGACAGCTATAAAGTTAGTTTGAAAAGGTGATAAATCAACTTGTAGAATGGAAAACCATTACAACTTGTACATCGCATTAACTCGGTTGCTATTTCCGTAACACCTCCTTACAAGTATGGTCTTCCAGATGGATATAATGTACGTGACTTTTGATTTCCTTGTAGAGTATTCTAGGTCAATCTTTACAAATGTGATAGTGATAAACGTTTTCGTAAATTAAGTGGATTTTCGGCCCGAGTAGTTTGTTGTAATTTTAGAAATGATGGGAAACTTGTCATTGTGGGTGAAGAAGGCGGAACTCTGCGTATTTGTACTACGGACAAAAACAAGTTTCATCTTCGGAAGGTGAAAGCACACCAGGGGTATGTCTGACCGTTTTTTGTGACTTCTTAGTTCTATTTCAACAGCTTCATTTTTTTACGACGGGTTACGTGCAGCTAGTCTTGGATCAGATGCAAGTGTTCGAATTTGGGACGTCACACTAGGTTCCCCATTAGGACGTTATGCAGTTTGCAATGGAGACGAAGTTGCTCGTGGCATGGTAACAGGCAGAGTCGACAATAACCTCTTGTGTTTTGGTGACCTTAATGGAAATGTTGCCATTTACGATTTGCGCGAGGTAAGGCTTCTAGTTGCGGTTAAATCTTGTCATTCAGTCACTAAAATTTCGGGCATTTCCCACTGTTCGTAATTTAGATCTTTATCTCGTTCAAAGTAGGGTTGATATTTGTTTAGATCAATCCACGGAAATGAGGTTTCTGTGCATAATAGAATATTATCCTTAAAAGATTATAATGGTACATGAAAAAGTACTCAAGCGGCGTGTAAAGAGTCCCCTGAAATTTAGGTTGTAAAAAGTGTAAACGATAAAATTGAGAAAATAAAGTTCTTTCATGGTTACTTAGAGATTAGGCTATCACATGTGGTGTATATACGGATAATAGATCTATATATTTAGTATGACGGGTAATGACTACTCCCTTTAGCTATCCCTCATATTAAACATAAGTCGGAGTGAAGTTAGAGAGATGATTGAATCCATCCTTTTGTGCCAAAAAGCCTAACAGTTTTTAGATTGGTTTTAAACTCTTTCTGGTAGATATTGCTTTTCTTTTCTAAAAGCTATAGATGTAGTCATCAATAAACGTATACAAGTTCAGTCGCTTCGTTTTAGGTTTAATTTTATTAAAATGCTCTTGTTAAGGCATAGTAGATAAGTGTTTTGTATTCTGGTGTTACGTATTGCTTGAAAAATAACCTTAGTTGACATTGGTGTCGTTGACTTATTTCATACGGACTCGCTACTAATAATAGAGATACACAGAAGCACCAATTACTTTGTCATTTCCAACGATTTACTATGTAAGGTGAGCATGAAGTGCAATTAATTTCAAGATAATCCTCACATTGGTAATGTAAGTGGTGTGATATACTTATAGATAGTCTCCAATCCGTGAGTTATAAAATAATGAAATACGTTCATATTTCTACTACCAATGCGTATATAGCTATAAATTCTACAATGATTCATCCAAAACTGTGGAATACCGCCAAAACAAAAAGACGAAGTAAAATGTGTGTTAATCTTAGCTGTTGGTTTGAAAAAGTAAGAAAAAGTAATTGTCTTCAGTACCTGAAATGTACTTGTAATAGGCTTTTAAATTTCTAAGGTTTTTAGAAACAACCGCCATCATCGAATGAGAGCAAGTCCTGCCATCAAAATCACCGTTCTAATACTAGTAGTGATAACACAGGGTTAATAGAAAAGTCCAGGAATTCGGTGGGAAAATATCTTGAGTTTTCTATTTCTCCATACTTACTTACTTACATACGCCTGTTACTCCTCGTGAAGGAGCATAGGCCGCTCACCAGCATTCTCCATCCAACCCTGTCCTGGGCAATCCTTTCTAGCTCCGTCCAGTTGTAATTCATCGTTTTCATATCTGCTTCTATTATCCGACGCAATGTGTTCTTTGGCCTTCCTCTTTTTCGCTTCCCTTCAGGATTCCAAGTTAGTGCTTGCTTCGTAATGCAGTTTGACGATTTGCGTAATGTATGTCCTATCCATTTCCATCGTCTTTTCCTAATTTCTTCTTCAGCTGGAAGTTAGTTTGTTCTCTCCCACAGAAGGCTATTGCTGATGGTATCCGGCCAATGGATGTTGAGTATCTTGCGTAGACAGCTATTTATAAAAACTTGTACTTTCTTGATTGTGGTTGTTGTAGTTCTCCAAGTTTCAGCTCCATACAGTAGAACTGCCTTGACGTTCGTATTGAAGATTCTGACTTGAATATTGGTTGAAAGTTGTTTTGAGTTCCATATGTTCTTTAATTATAGGAATGTGACCCTTACTTTGCCGATCTTCGCCTTTACGTTTGCATCTGAACCTCCTTGTTCATCGATGATGCTTCCTAGGTATGTGAAGGACTCTACACCTTCCAGAGTTTCGCCATCAAGAGTGATTGGATTGGTATTCTCCGCCTTGAATTTGAGGACCTTGGTTTTCCCTTTGTGTATGCTGAGGCCTATTGATGCAGAGACTGCTGCTACACTGGCTGTCTTCATCTGCATCTGTTCGTGTGTACATGATAGGAGGGCTAGGTCATCTGCGAAGTCCAAATCGTCTAATTGGATTCTGAGCTGTCCATTGTATTCCGTGTTTTCCTTCAGATGTCGAGGTCTTCATAATCCAGTCGACCACCAGAAGAAAGAGGGAGAGAGTAAACAGCCTTGTCTGACTCCGGTCCTTACTTGAAATGCATCTGTCAGCTGTCCTCCATGCACGACTTTGCACTGTAGTCCGTCGTATGAGTTCCGGATAATATTGACAATCTTCTCAGGAACTCCGTAGTGTCGAAGAAGTTTCCATAATGTCCTCCTATCTACACTGTCGAATGCCTTTTCATAATCAATGAAGTTGATGTATAGTGATGAGTTCCACTCAAATGATTGTACGACGATGATCCCTAGTGTTGCAATTTGGTCTGTGCACGACCGATCCTTACGGAATCCAGCTTGTTGATCTCGAAGTTTGGCGTCCACTGCACCCTTCATCCGGTTCAGCAACACTCTGTTGAAGACTTTCCCTGGTATTGAGAGTAGTGTAATGCCTCTGTAGTTTTCACATTTGCTCAGGTCTCCTTTCTTTGGAATCTTGACGAGGTGTCCTTCTTTGCAGTCCATCGGCACTTGTTCCTCTTCTCAAATCTTTTTGAATAGAAGATAAAGCATGCTTGTGGTTGCTTCGATGTCTGATTTCAGTGCTTCAGCTGGTATGTTGTCGGATCCTGCTGCTTTCCCGTTCTTGATTTGTCTGACGGCTATTCTGATTTCTTCCGTCGTTGGTGGGTTGACATCTATAGGAAATCTATGTGTGCTGCTTCGATGTCCGGTGGATTCATTGGAGCCGGCCTATTCAGGAGTTCCTCGAAGTATTCTACCCATCTGTTACGCTGTTGTTGAATATTGGTGATTGGCCTGCCTTCTTTATCTTTGACCGGCCTCTCTGGTTTACTGTATTTCCCTGCTAGTTTCTTCGTTGTATCGTGAAGCTGTTTCATATTTCCTTCTGTAGCAGCTTTTTCTGACGTCGTTGCTAGTTCTTTCACGTATTTCTTCTTGTCGGCTCTAATGCTCCTCTTCACTTGTTTGTTTGCTTCTATGTATTCAGCTTGTGCTTGGACTTTCTCTGCTCGTGTTCGGCTGTTGTCCATTCCTTATGATGGTATTTCTTTAGACTCAGAACCTCTTGACACGTTGAAGTTAATGCTTCCTTGATGCCT